TCATCCTGTGGACTGATAGGAAGCCTTTTATTTGCTTGCTGTTCTTATTCAGGAGCACTGGGTTGTGTAGCTCTGAGGATTCACTTACTTCTCTTGCCACTCAAAAATAACAGAAACTTGAAACAGCTGTTGTTAAAGCAGTAGGATACTGTATTCCATAAAGCTATGTAGCTGCTTTGAAGTACAGTCAAACATATTCCAAAGTGCCTGGCTGTTGGTATGCTATGAACAATGGCAAGCCTCTGTGTGTGGGCCACCAAAACTGAAATCACTTACCAATAAAGACACCTCTAAGATACTACATTTAAAAAAAGTGTATTCTATTCTTGAAAACCTGCCTGTGAGTTTGAGAAGATGAAAGTACTTGCCCTGTGTGTGATGGCACCAGGCACAAGAATAACAGACCCCCACTGTTTTAGGTTGTATAACTTCTACTAAGAAAAGACAAAAGAGTTCACTGAACTCTGTGCAAAAAGAACAAGAATCGTTACTCTTGCATCAGTGGAACATTCTTGGAAAGATTCATGCCAGAGACGTAAGTGAAGACAACAGGAAGTTAAAATGATAAAAGGCTGGCAAAGGGTTCAGAATATCCTTTATATCTGAGTTCTGATAAAGCACAGCAAACCAGGAGTTATAACATGTGATGAGTGGTATAGTTTAAACCAGTGGTTCTCAACCTTCCTAATGTCGCAACCCCTTAATATAGTTCCTCATGTTGTGGTGACCCCCAACTATAAAATTATTTTTGTTGATACTTCATAACTATAATTTTGCTACCATTATGAATCATTATGCAGATATCTGATATGCAGGATGTATTTTCATTCACTGGACCAAATTTGGCACAAATACTTGATATGTCCAAATCTGAATACTGGTGGGGTTGGGGGGTGGATTGATTTTGTCATTTGGTAGTTGTAGTTACTGGAATTTATAGTTAACCTACAATCAGAGAGCATTCTGAACTCCACTAGCAATGGAATTGAACCAAACTTGGCACACTGAACTCCCATGACCAACAGAAAATACTAGAAGGGTTTGGTAGGCATTGGCCTTGAGTTTTGGAGTTGTAGTTCACCTACACCCAGAGAGCACTGTAGACCCAAACAATGATGGATCTGGACCATACCCAATTTCCCCAAATGTGAACACTGGTGGAGTTTAGGGAAAATACTGTAGACCTTTACATTTGGGAGTTGTAGTTGCTGGGATTTATAGTTCACCTACAATAAAAAAACATTCTGAATCCCACCAATGATTGAGCCAAACTTCCCACACAGAACCCCCATGATGAACAGAAAATACTGTGTTTTTTTGGTGGTCTTTGGTGGTCTCTGTCACCCCCTCATGACCCCCCCAGAGGTCCCGACCCCCAGGTTGGGAAACACTGGTTTAAATTTTTAAGGTTCATACTTTTATGCACAGAATACTACTACAACTACTGCTAATAATAATAATAATAATAATAGTTTTATTTTTATACCCCCGCCACTATCTCCCTGAAGGGACTCGGGGTGGCTTACATGGGGACCAGCCCAACATACAGGAAAATTAACCAGCTCAAACACAGTTAAAAACATTATAACACAGTTAAAAACATAAAATCAGATTAAAGAGGGCAGGGCATAAGCTTGTGCAAAAAGCTAACTCTTGGGCTGAGCTGGGGATAAAGTGCTGCATATAACCTTATCAGTAAATTAGGGCTGGACATTCATAGACAGGGACTAATCATCATTCAAATGAACACTGAAACATATAGCTTTTCAATTCCCTGCAGAAGGCGGACACAGTGAGAGCCAGTTCAGAAAGAAACTGAATTATGATGCAATAATTTGTGTGAAGAAATACATACTATATTGGGTTTATTTAACTGAAGGAACCCGCAGTAGTCAAAGTACAAGACTGTCCATGAATGATCTCTCACGCATCAGCTGTATTCCCCCATTGAGTCCTTTCTTCATTGCTCCTATTCTAACTACTCCCAGAAATGGGGCAAAATAATCATAAAGTTGCCATATAATACATAACCTTGTATTCAGTCTGAAACAGACAGAAACATAGGGATAGAAGCTGCTAGCTTTAAAGCCTACTGGAATTCCTTATCAATAAGTGAGCAAAAATTAGAAAGGTAAACATGCAAGGGTTTCAGCTTCCTGGGTTGTCTTGTTTTCAGCAAAATCCAAGTGCCAGGAGTTTTGATTTAGCATTGGTCGCAAACAGTACGTGATGGTTTTGAGTTTTCTAACTTAAGGCCATATTTCAGGGGAAGGAGCTGGCAGAACCACCTCTGAGTCTTCCTTGCCAAAGAAAACTTCATAAAATTCATGGTCACCATAAGTCAAATGGTGGCTTGAAGGCACAGATTCACTCAAAAGTTAAGGTGTTTCTAAAAGGTTCAGAGGAGACCACAGAACTAAACACGTATAAAGCTGAGCGAATTTATCCTCACAAACCAAATCAGGATTTCAACCCACCAAACCAAACACTTTTAGAGTCTGCATTATTCTAAATTGGCCCCACTGTTTTTGACTTGATGAATGAGATAATTAAGTAAATATGTGAATCTGCAGAACATGTTAGACTTTGATCCCAATCCTACCATTTCTTTCTTTTGAATAATAAGGAGAAAAAGCAAAACGTTTGAAATTATCAAAATGCATTCCTTATTCCTCCATACTTCCAGAACACCTATGCAATAATAGGACAGGAAACTTTGATATGGGTATAAGACAATCTGCCACAATCTGACAAGATGTCTAACACACTCATCATACAACATCAAAAAGCTGCATCTATACTGTAGAATCAATGCAATCTGATACCACAATCTGATATGTGCCATGAGTAAGCAAGCATGTCAACAGGAAATAGCTTAGTAGATATGGCTGGCTTCCAACTCTGTTTTTCCAGAACGGCCTCACTCACCTCTTTCCTTTCCTTTTCTCCTGCCCTCCTTCCTGCCCTCCTTCCTATCTCACTTCTCTAGCAATGGCCACAAGTAGCAATTGGTTTTAACATTGCAAAGGAAACTTTAGTCACAGCTGAAAACCAGGCTTAAGTCAACTGAATGCCCCAAAACATTCAGGGCTGAATGTCCCAAAACTATGTTTTTCCCACTCAATAGGTCCCAGAGGCAGGCTCTTAACATCATAATCTCTCCCATTCACTTGCAAAATGTTCAGGATGAGGAGACAGAAATATGGAAAATTGTTTTTAAAACAGACTCAAATATGCAAGGCTGGGCAGTAACCTAGTGTGTTTCTACACTGGGTGTTGTATATAGTTTGGTGAGGTACCAGTACTGTTTGGCAGAAAAGATTAAAGACCTTGTCAATCTACAGCTCCCAGGATTTTAGAGCATGGAGCCACGACACATATAGTGTTATCATACTGTATTCATTCTACAGTTTAGATACACATTTTGATGATGTATTATGAGTGTGTTAGACACTGTGTTACAGTGACACCTTGTGTGTATCCAGTTTATAAACTTTGTCATATTTTAAAAATATAAGCTTGACCTCCGTGTTCTAGATAGTTCTGCTAAAACATGATAATTATGGTTACATTTTCAGGCTTATTTTAGGGGGAAATGAAAAGCAGAATAGCATATGTTTTTTAAACTTTTCATTTCAGTGAAATACTAATACAGTCATATCTCAGTTAACAAAGTAGATATGTTCCTGGGCTTTATTTCTTTAACAGAACGCAATGATATGGAAAGATAATTTACATCCTCAAAAGAAGAGCAGTCCAATATGTTTCGGCAATCTTTTTATTCAAAACTAACATTATGCACATGTTGTACAAAGCAATCAGGTCAGGTAAGCCTTGCATAAGCAAATGAGAAAATTTTGAATTTTTTGGACTACAGGTAATCTGAAAGCTTCTTCCAAAGTTCTGGGGGCAGGTGCATGTTTTGCTTCTTGTATTAAGCACACACAACTACAGTCAGCTCACCTTTCTTTCTCACGTCAAGTTTTCTTGCATTGCTTAATAAAGACACAATGTGACAACCCAAAACCTATATGTCTTTCTGCAGTTCTTTTTCACCAGCCTTCCAGTGCTATTGCTGCAAATCCCAAACAACAACAACCATCTAGTTAGACTGAAGACAAGAAAAGGGATAAGTAGGTTCCCCTCAAACAAAGACTTTGGAAAACTGGGGAATACCTGTACTAATACTAACAGTACTGCTTGTGGTATATCTATTACTATCACTAGTGTGTATTCTATCTTTGTTACATGACATACAAGAGGGTGTTGAATTTTCTTCCTCCTTTTTGACTCTAAGAATTATTACTATGTATAATATTACCATATTAGGTTGTTTTGTTGTTTAGTCATTCAGTTGCTTCTGACTCTTCGTGACCTCACGGACCAGCCCATGACAGAGCTCCCTGCCAACCATTGCCACCCCCAGCTCTTGGTCGGCCCCTCTTCCTTTTTCCTTCTATTTTCCCCAACATCATCTTCTCCAAGCTTTCCTGTCTTCTCATTATGTGGCCAAAGTACTTCATCTTTGTCTCTAATATCCTTCCTTCCAGTGAGCAGTCAGGTATTATTTCCTGGAGGATGGACTGGTTTGGTCTTCTTGCAGTCCAAGGCACTCTCAGAATTTTCCTCCAACACCACAGTTCAAAAGTGTCTATCTTCCTTCACTCAGCCTTCCTTATGGTCCAGCTCTCACATCCATAGGTTACTATTGGGGGGGGGGGGGATTAGGTTGGGCTGTGATTAAAAGGTGAAATGGAAGGCAGATATTCTCTTCATATCAGACGTCTCTTGTGGTGCAAGGAAACAGGGCAATGAATGAACTGTAATAAATTAATTAGCTCTAACTCTTCTCTTCTGCTCCCAGTGTCTAAGAAACCCAGCAGCCTAGTTAAAAGGGAAAAAAAGACCTTTGATGTCAACAAATCCCCTTATCAGTTTTTGAGTTTCCTGTTCCGTCTCCCTTCATTTTGCATAAAGGAAAAAACAATCACGTTGTAGAGCTGACACAACACTTGAAACCCCAGCAGAAGGCTGTGTTGATTTCATCATAATTTGCTTCACAATTCAGCTTCATTGAGGACAGAACAGGTCCTCTTCTGACCTCAATCTTAAGTCTTACTCTGGAAGCAACTTCCTAGGTAAATGGAGCTACAGTATTACCATGGAAATATTACTAAAGAAAACTGTGAACAATTGCTGAGCAAGAACAAAAACAATGGCTGCTTTTTAATACGAGACAGCGAGAGCATCCCAGGAGCTTTGTGCCTTTGTGTTTTGTAAGTATTTCTCCTTCTAATATGCAAACTTGGAGTCTTGGTTATCTCCTTAGGAGATAAGAGTATTCAGATAAACATAGGTGCATGTTAGCACTGACATTTAACTATGTGTAAAATAAGCATGTCTAGTTTTATGTGGATTGGGTCAAGTGACATTTGGAAGAACTATATGTTGATCATCTCTTATTTGAAATGCTTGGGACCAGAAGTGCTTTAGATTTGGGAATATTGTTTTTACATTTTGGAATATCTGCATATTCATAATGAGATATCTTGGAGATGGGAGCCAAGTTTGGACATGAAATTAGTTCTCTGCCCCGGAATGTGGCGGAGGCTCCTTCTTTGGAGGCTTTTAAACAGAAGCTGGATGGCCATCTGTCAAGAGTTCTATGAATGCGATTTTCCTGCCTCTTGGCAGGGGGTTGGACTGGATAGCCCATGAGGCCTCTTCCAACTCTATGATTCTATGATTTATGTTTCATATACACTTTGTACACATAGGCAAATATTTTCAACAGTTTGTGTACACTGAACCATGAGAAAGCAAAGGTGTCACTAGCTCAACCACCCATGTGGACAATTTTGAAGTATTTTGGATTTTGGATAAGGGATATTCAAACTGCACTTCATTTTATGTCCGTGAACAAATCTAATGCTATTCTGCTTTTATTAAAAAAATCCACTGTAAGCCTGCCCAGACTGAAATGCATTTTGAAAAGGTGAAGAACTGTGTTCAATTATAAGCCTTAATTCGCATGTTTTTCACTTGTCCGGTAAATATTTTGAGAGTTACCAGTCTAGAAATATCTGGACTTTTACTTCAAATAACCTCTGAGAAAGGCAAGGACAAGGCAGGCTTTTTAAACTAATAAAATAACAATATTTTGAGCATCTTGAGATAACTCGCCAGTTTCTTCTGGATGTGCCCTAGTTTCTGCTTGTTTTTGACTCATTCCATACCCACATGAAAGCACTCTAGTGTCCATTGTTCCTCTCCATGGACAGGAGTGAAACACTAAGTGCCTTCTCTGGACAAAAGGATTACTGCTGATAAATGCTTAGGCTAGATGTTAAGACTGTTCTCGTGTATGAATTACATTGGTTTACAGTATCTCTAGCCAGCACATATTTCATCAGAACTTCAATCTCGGTCATCATGAATCCTTTTGTATCTTTAAATATCACCAGGAGTTTTAAAAAATCATATAGTTTCCTCTGTTTTGAACTACGACATACCTCAAATATGCCTGGTCTACTTTGTCAGTTTAATTATTTTCAATTTATGAGCAAATACCATTTGCTTGCCTGACACCAATATCTTAATGGCTGGCTGGAAATAATTAGGCAAAAATAGTTCTAACTTCCACCAAAGATGTTTCAGCATACAACAAAAATCAGTAAGAATGCCAGTCCTAGTTACCATCAGAAATGGCTTCATGTGCACACTTCTAGAAAAATAACAACTAACTGTAGCAGTGGCTACATGCTGTTCCCAAAGGGTAAGGGGGAATTTATCGGCAGCAAGTGACACTCACAGCTAACATAACATGAGGAAGGAAACATTTCCTTGGCAACCTGCAGTCTTTATGAACTGGGTGGCGTTTTAATGTTCTGTTGCACACATTTAAATGTATTTATGCATGTACAGTATTTATGTAATTTATTCATTTCTATCTTACCCATCTCTTAATAATGGGACATAGCAATCAACAACATATTTGAAAACAGTATAGATTAAAACTATACAACATAAATCATTTTAAAAGCAATGAAACAGATGTATTGTCGAAGGCTTTCATGACCGGAATCATTGGGTTGTTGTAGGTTTTTCGGGCTATATGGCCATGTTCTAGAAGCACTCTCTCCTGACGTATCACCTGCATCTATGGCAGGCATCCTCAAAGGTTGTACGGTCTTCACAACCTCTGAGGATGCCTGCCATAGATGCAGGTGAAACATCAGGAGAGAATGCTTCTAGAACATGGCCATATAGCCTGAAAAACCTACAACAACCCAGCAATGAAACCATTTGCAAATTTAAAACATTGAAGACATAAAAATGATTAAAAGTCCCCATCCAAACCTTAAAACAGAATTGCACAGTATTAAAGTCCCACATCAGCCAATTCTTAAAAGCTGGGTGGAGTTCCAAAATCTTGGCGCAGCCACTGGGAAGGTCTTTTCCCTTATTCCCACCAAACAAACCTGAAAAGTTGGTAGGACATAGACAAAAGCTCCCCCCACTCTTATATGATTCCTCAAGACACATTAATATTTGAGTGATCTCAGAAATCATTATTTTTCACTTTTTAAAAATCCAGCTATGAATCGTTTGTCTACACATACAGGATCTTCAGGAAACACAATGGACATTTTATGATTCAGGTAAGAAAAACAATCTATTCCTATACCTCAATGCGTTCCTTAACCTTAACCCAACAATGCATGCAAAAATAGAATCCGACCAAATCCTTCCGTCATTTTGTGCCACCTTTTCCATTTCTTATTTGGAAAAGCTAAAATATATTTGGGAAATTCTATTTTGAGTTATCCAACCTTTTTATATCTTGATGAGAGTCTGGATTCTGAATGAAAAGGAACTGCCAAGGATCAGAGTTTCCAGATATTTAAAAGAAGCAAATCTAATTATGAGGCAGTTTCATATTAAACCTGCTGAGTTCATTATACCTTTCTCTGAAATCAATCTCATTTAAGTCAGGAAGAATTACACAGCCCAACAAAAGAAAATTATTGCTATCTTGGTTTTTAGGCCTGTTCCTAGGGTTATTTGGGGTGCTGTTTCAGGAAATTGCATTGGATAGATTGCGTCAGATCTCGTTTCTTCCATATGGCTATCATGGTTTTCTATGGGTGAGCAGATGGCGACTAATATAAGGCATATATTCTGTATTTCAAAAACTAGAGCTGATAGGGTAATGGTGCTGTTTTTGGAATCAGCAAGTCAAATATACCCAGAAACAGGTCTAACATTTGAGGCATCAAAATGTGTGTTGCCAGTGTTATTATTCAACAGGAGCCCCCAGTGACGCAATGGGTTAAACCCTTGTGCTGGCAGGACTGCTGACCGGAAGGTAGGCGGTTCGAATCCGAGGAGTGGGGTGAGCTCCCATCTGTCAGCTCTAGCTTCTCATGTGGGGACATAAGAGAAACCCCCACAGGATGGTAAAACATCTGGGTGTCCCCTGGGCAATGTCCTTGCAGACGACCTATTCTCTCACACCAGAAGTGACTTGCAGTTTCTCAAGTCACTCCTGACATGGAAAAAAAAATATTTAACATACTTATTTTTTAGGCTTCTGAAGGTGCACCAAAACAGGACTTCAAAACTTTAAAGGACTTAATAGCCACCTTTGAAAAACCAAATCAAGGGCTAGTCATCAATCTGCGATATCCTGTAAATAGATCTACACCCAGCCAACAAACTCAAAATCACTATGAGTATGATGATGACTATGTGAATAACGGTAAGAGATACACAAATAATCATGGTGTGTGATGAATACTATGTTGTACAATGGTTATTCAATAGAAAAAAGTTCTAAGGTGTTTTTTTTTTAAAAAAGCACAAATGCAGGGATATAGCATACCATAGTTAAGCCATACCAAGCAAGGATTTGGAATAGCTTAACTAAAAAAATAAAATGCCATTTATTTTGATTATATATCAGTTGATTTACTGGAATTTTGGAAAATCCAAATTCAATTTTCCCCAAACATTAAGATCACGCAACTTGGCTTAGTCTTCAGGCTTAATTTACTTTGGAGGTTCCTTACATAAGGGTAATGTAAATTAAGCATTTTGCCTACCATTTATTACTTTACAATAATCAAATGTTGCATATTTTAGTTTATAACACTCCTTACAGAAATCTGACAAAAAGAAGAAATATTACAATATATTTGATGGTGACTCTGTAAGTCAGTGTTTCTTGGGCTATCTGATGCAGCAATTTCCCCCCAATATGTCAGGGATTGGCTCCATTTTTGTGCCCATTGGCTAAAATGGTCCCTCTCTTTCCTGGAAACTTACCTGAAACCAGCAGCCAGTGGCAGCTCTAATATAGTGGTTACTGCTTTTGAGTAGACCTCTGCAACTGAAACAAAGCTTCCCTTTTTAGTTTGACTTATTTCTAAACTTTCATTATTGTATCACAGAAATGTTCCAGGGAGGTAGTGTTAGAAGTGGAGAACTATTGAAATTGGAAAGTATCCTTTGAACTATCAGAAGTGCTTTCCTTTCACACTGTTTACGTCCATATCCAATATATATCTATATCTATATATCTCACAAAATCTGCATCTAGAAGTATTATCACTCCTATTCCTCTGGATTAAAGAGTTCCTTTCTTTGAAGGGAATCACTAAACATTATGAGATTTGCAGGCAATTCCTCTATTTGCAATTTAAAAAACAGCCTTTTCTGGCATAAGAGTTTTCAGTTTTATTGTTATACAATTGAATTGATCAACCAGGAGAATGAGGAATGCATTTAGAAACAAATGCCAGACTTTACAGGATCCAATCTGATGACAGATTACTAATGTGAGTGCAAAATGAAGCTAAATATGGGAATCAGCAGTGGAAAGAGGTACCCTAATTCATGTGTAGGGCCAGCTCAATACATTTTCTTTTCTTGGGCAGAACACTAAATGATATCCCTCTACATTCAAGAATTAGAAAAATGTGAATTCTTTTTTCTCTCTTCACAGAACCCGGAGATGACGATTATGTCCATGTATTGCCTGACTGATTGAAGGACCTTCATCTCAGGCCCCTTCTACACTGCCATATAATCCAGATTATCAAAGCAAATAGTCCACATTATTTGCTTTGAACTGGATTGGATGAGTCTACACTGCCATATAATCCAGATCAAAGCGGCTAATCTGGATTTGATATGGCAGTGTAGAAGGGGCCTCAGTTTGCTCCCATTTTATCAAGGAAATCAACTGCAGTGGGTTACACTAATACAGACTGCAGCTCATTCATGGATGTTGGAATCTGTCTTTGTTTCTCTCTGGATAGTATTCACAAACATAAAAATTTCTTACTTGTAATTTTTGTATAATTGTAATAAAAACCAAACCCTTCAAACATTCATCTCTCTACTCGTGGAGCTGAAATCTAGACATAACATACTCAGAGGAGTGAGGATCATATGGCCCTCCAGAGTTAGATTATAGCCTACAGCATTCTTCACTGTTGCTTATGCTGGCTAGTGTTGCCATATGGGCACTGAGGTACACATATTATCCCATATAAAGTTTGATACAGTAATGACATAAGCACAACACAGCATCAGTTTCATGAAACCATGGTAATTAAAATGATAAATTAAATTAAATGATAATTTGCCACTCCTTAATTCTGAAATAGATGGCAAAAGATGTTTGGAGGGTTTTTTTTTCTTATAAAAATCTGCTTGAAACATGTTTCTATTATTTTTTCTTCTTTGGTGTATCTCATTGTTGTATCATATTGTTTTTAAACAAACAGTATTCTATACCATTTAGGGAGAGCATATCAAATGAGGTTTGGTTGTATATTATCAGTCTTTGCAAGTTATTGTGATGTGTTTATTTTTCTACTATGTGAAATTTCATAGCAACAAAAACATTATTGATATGAGTTTTGGGATATATGTTTTTATAGGTTTTCGAACCCGGTATTTCATGAGAATTTTCTAAGAGTGGGGCTACCCATTGAAATACATGTGACACTGATTAAAAGGGCTCACATCTAGGGATAGAGGGAAAAAGGTTAGGAGCCAAATCTTAACATTGTCACATTAGCCTTATCAGTATGTGAACTTGTTTTTCACTGATAATACAGTCTTTGCACACTGTGCAACCTGAATTCAGTCTTTTTGACAATTATGAGTACAAGTGACTGATTGTTTTAAAAACTCTATTGTTGTACATGCCATAAAGATCTGAATTTACCCTAAATACAGGATGATCCTGAAAGTGATTTTTAAATGTGTGGTTTTTCATAATTTCATTCTCCTCACATATTTCTCCATGAAAATTGTGTCATGAGTTGCAAAAGTACAAAGATTCCTCTGAGAGCAAGCATAGGGCAGATCTACATTGACCCATAGCCTTATATAAAATCCTCCTGTTGCGTTAAGAAATGATTTTGGGTGGTGAATATGTGAAAACATTGTGTAATTAGTTACTTACTCATTCCCACCCAATTTGTTTGGTGGGAAAGGCCTTCATTTTTTCTTATTTCTACCCCAGGCCTTCATATCTTGTGAGTGGTATGCATGTTCTCTTCCCTTGGAATAATACTAACATAGACTAGATCTACATTGCCTTATAGCCCAGGACCCAATCTGGATTATACAAATCTATACTGCTTTGAACTGGATTATACTGCCAGTTAATCTGGGCTAAACCAATAATCTGGGACCAAATCCTAGGATATATAGCATAGATCCAGCCACAGACATGTTATGGGACATTTTTTTCTCCTTTCAGCATTTACTCATACTATCTATTACTTCTCTTCTGCAGGAATGTGCACAAACATTTTTTACTGGTGTATTTCATTATATTCTTCCATAGTGATACAAAATGCTCTTTATATTTTCTGGATTTTAGAAAATCATGTTTTGTAATGCAAATTTCACTCTTCATCAACCAGACTTAAGAAATACTGGCGTTTGTGACATTAAAGCATGGGTACGTTGGCTGCTGAATGCACATTCTATGTACAACAGTGTGACAGAAGGTGATGAAAACAGGATTTAACACTTTCATATTGGTTTAGTGTATTAGCACGGTTATGTCGTTTTATTAAGACATCTGTGGCCACAGGAAATAACAGCTGACACCTAACCTGCTCCCTCAAGTGCTCTTCTTTCAGTCATAAGATTGAAGATAAGGACAAGTTCAGATTTTATATAAAAAAAATCACTGGACAGCAGCCAGACGTTTATTGTACAGAGACACAACATGCATACAAGGTCCATGTCACTGGAACGTGTATTTTGAATTCAGGTTTTGGCGTCTTCTGAAGAAACTCTTTTCTGGGTCCCTTCGTTCTCACTCGTACATCTGAAACATTGGAGAGAGTCCATGGAAACCCTTGCTAGACTATCTCCTTCCTTGCTAGCCATCTGTAGCCAAGTGAAGACTGTGCATGGTTCAGCAGCCCCTTGAAGACTGTTTGCTTATGGGACAAGGGACTTCACTAATGTGCTCAAATGCACACATATATATCTGTTATATTTTTTTTAAAAATGGGAACTCTTTAAATGTTTTTAATTCTATTGATAATCCTATTTTAAGTTTTGTATGTTTCAACAATGTGAACTTTTAGCTGGATTCAATGTTGGTAAGTTCCTGGGGCGGAAAGGAAAGAAAGAAAGAAACAAATAAATAGAAGACAACTTGGGTTTTAGTAGTAATTGCACTCTGGAGTAATTCCAAATGGACAGATAAAACAGCTGGATGAAATTACCACTAAAGGGATCTCAATATAACTGTATCTCCCTCTGGGAGATAGGGCGAAATATAAATAAAGTCTTATTATTATTATTATTATTATTGTAAAAAGTTACACTATCTGATAACATCTCACTGATTTCTGGGCCCCTTCTGCACTGCCATATAATCAAGATTATCAAAGCAGATAATCCACATTATCTGTTTTGAACTGGATTATATGAATCTACACTGCCATATATCACAGTTCTATAAAACAAAGGTAAGTGTACAGTTGACCAAAGAAATATGGAGGTTATTTCAGGAACACTTACAGATCATGCAAATTCACTAGACAATGATGTAATAGGAAATAATTGCAGTACAATAGAAAAAAGTTCTTAGGTTAACACAACCTAAAACAGCCTGGAAGTTACATGCAACTTCTTCTTGCCCCCCCCTCCCTTAATTTATTTTGTTATTACTGCCTTTTTTCAACTTCCCACTCCCCAACCCCCGTCTCTTTCCTTTCCTACTTTCCTTCTCATATTGTTCTCACACTTTTGATATAAACCTATCATGATTTTACAAACTTTCTTCACACTCCAACCTCTCGGAGCCAAATTATTCTTAATAAAAATAAGTTGGAAAATAATTGCAATCAAAATGGTTATGGGGAGTGAGACAACAGGAAGTGAGGGAAATCTTCCCCTTGGAAGAAAAATTTGCTCATGAAAGTTATCATGGGGGGGGGGGGGGAGATGTCTCCACTGAAGCTTTCTCAGTAATCTTTGTTTCCGTAACAAGTCAACATTTTCAAAATCCAATTCTCACAAGGACATAAAGTGAGGTGAAATCTTCTACAATGTTTAGCACAGAGAGCAAAACAAAGACCACAGGGGTGTTAACCCTTCCCTATGCTATCCAAAGCATGCATTTTTAAGTATAACTCCAGCCAGAATATACATATACATATATATCTATACCTATAGTAAAGGTAAAGGTTCCCCCCTGACATTAAGTCCAAAAGTCCAGTTGTGTCCAACTCTGCCCCCACCCAGAGTTGGACACAACTGGACTTTTGGACTTAATGTCAGGGGGGAACCTTTACCTTTACTATAGGTATAGATATATATGTATATGTATATTCTGGCTGGAGTTCTGGGGGGGGGGGGATGCTCCTCTCCATTTCTAAGCCAAAGAGCCAGCATTGTCTGTAGGCGCCTCCAAGGTCATGTGGCCAGCATGACTGCATGGAGAGTCGTTACCTTCCCGGTGGAGCGGTACCTATTGATCTACTCACATTTGCATGTTTTCGAACTGCTAGGTTGACAGAAGCTGGGGCTAACAGCGGAGTTCAATTCAACCCAGATCCAAACCTGTAACCTTTCAGTCAGCAAGTTCAACAGCTCAGCGCTTTAACCCACTGCACCACTGGGGGCTCCACCTCTCTCTCTCTCTCTCTCTCTAAATATATATCCTGGCTGGAGTTACACTTTAAAAAGAAATCTGATCCATCTTACAACCAAAGACAACTTAAGAACAAACTTACAGAACCTACCTTGCTCATAACTTGGGGATTCCTTATACTTTCCTGTTGCAAATTTCTCAGGGAAGTTTATAAATGAATTAAAAAACAACAGAAAAATAGCAGACTGGTGCCAATACAAAATCCCTATCTGTAGAGTCTATGGATGACCACCGCAATGAAGAAACATAAGAAAACGAAGAACTCTTGTTTTTACTACAGTAGATGTGCAGAGTGCTATTGAAAGGGGATTCATTATTACCCACAATAGACTTCACAGTTTCCGCTCTGTTTCCATGATATCTCCTGTGCCATTATATGTTTCGCCCACCTTATTGAACCATTTATCCTTTAATCAGTTCGTATGTTGGCCTCCTTCCTCCCTCCAAAATTGGTCTGCTGTTGCTTGATACTTGTTTATTACTGTTACACTGTTTTGTGCTATTTTAATTTGTTGTTCTTTTTGCTTTTAACTATATGTTGCTTGGGCTTGGCCCCATGTAAGCCGCCCCAAGTCCCCTTGGGGAGATGGAGGCGGGGTAGAAAAATAAAGTTCTGTGGCCACTTGCAACATATTCAATACTACTGTATTTTTGTGGCAAAAACTATATAAATAAACTATACATAAATATGGGTCCCTGAGAACTGAAAGGAGAAGAGCGCAGCTGCATTAAGGAATCAAATAAAAAAGGAAGGCTAAACTCTCATGAAGGTGACAGAATATAAAATCTGGGGTGGCCTTGTTGCTTAGGCAAGGAATCCTCAAAGATGTGGTGCATCTACACCAGGGGTCCTCAAACTAAGGCCCGGGGGCCGGATGCGGCCCTCCAAGGTCATTTACCTGGCCCTCGCTCTGGGTCAACCTAAGTATGAAACTACTTGAAAGCCCACAATAACAACAATCCTATCTCATCAGCCAAAAGCAGGTCCACAATTTCCATTGAAAACTAATAAGTTTATGTTAAAATTGTTCTTAATTTTAATTATTGCATTGTTTTTAAATATTTTTGCACTACTAATAAGATATCTGAAGTGTGCATAGGAATTCATTCATGTTTTTTTCGAGTTATAATCCGGCCCGCCAACAGTATGAGGGACTGTGACCTGGCCCTCTGTTTAAAAAGTTTGTGGACCCCTGATCTACACTGAGGAAATTGATGCAGTTTGACACCACTTTTACTGCCGTATCTCAATGCCATTGAATCCTGAGGGTTCGGTTTTACAAGACCTTTGCTTCCAGAGTGTTGGTGCCTCACAAAACTAAAAATCCCAGGATTCTTTAAAACTTAAGCATTGGCAGGTAAAGAGGTGCCAAACAGCATTAATTCTTCGAACAGCTGACCTTTCAATCAACAAGTTCAGCAGCTCAGCGGTTTAACCCACTGCATCACAGGGGGCCCACATGCCTGATCTTTCAGGCACGTGGGCCCCCGGTAATGCAGTGGGTTAAACCGCTGAGCTGCTGAACTTGTTGACCGAAAGGTCAGCTGTTCGAATCAGGAAAGTTGTGTGAGCTCCTGCTGTTAGCCCCAGCTTCTGTCAACCTAACAGTTCGAAAACATGCAAATGAGTAGATCAATAGGTACCACTCTGGTAGGACTGTAACAACACTCCATGCAGTCATGTTGGAAATAATATGATAGCTGGGTCCGGAAGCTCCGAGTGTTACAAAGATGCCGCATCGCTTGTTCGGGAGTGCTGTTTGTGCAAGAGAGACTTAGCTAATGTAAGCCAGGCCAAAGACAGATAATATAGAAGGAATGTAAGAGTTCTTTAATGGTGAAACCCTAATCTTTACCCTAACCGTGAACCGTACCGTAAGCCTAACCCTAACCACTTACCCAAAACCTTGCCCTAACCCAAACCCTAAACATTACCCTAACCCAGGGATCCACAAACTTTTTAAACAGAGGGCCAGGTCACAGTCCCTCAAACTGTTGGAGGGCTGGATAATAATTTGAAAAAAACATTTAGAATGAATTCCTATGCACACTGCACATATCTTATTTGTAATGCAAAAAACACTTTAAAACAATACTGACAAATATAAACTTATTGGTATTTCAATGGGAAGTGTGGGCCTGCTTTTGGCTGATGAGCTAGGACTGTTGTTCTTGTTGTGTGCTTTCAAATAATTTCACTTAGGTTGACCCTGAGCGAGGGCTGGGTAAATGACCTTGGAGGGCCACATCTGGTCCACGGGCCTTAGTTTGAGGACCCCTGCCCTAACTCTTATGCTAACCCAAATCCTAAACCTTACCCGTACCCTAACCTTAACCCTAACCCAAATCCTGAACTTTGCCCTAACCCTTATCCTAAGCGTCCCCTCCTTTCTATCCTTCCTTCGCTCTCTCTGCTCTCACTCTGCCCTCTCTTTTCCCATATTTATCATCTTTGCATCATCTCCTTAACACTTGGGAGCTTCCGGACCCAGCTATCATACTATCAGTCATGCTGGCGACATGATCTTGGAGGCGTCTATGGACAATACCGGCTCTTCGGCTAAGAAATGGAGATGAACACCAACCCCCAGTCGGACACGACTAGACTTAATGTCAGGGGGAAATCTTTACCTTTACCTAGATAAGGCATGAGCAAACTTTGGCCCTGCAGATGTTTTGAACTTCAACTCCCACAATTCCTAACAGCTTCATCCCCTGAGGGGAAAAGGAAAGGAACTGAGGCTGTTAGGAGTTGTGGGAGAGTAGAAGTTTGCCCATGCCTGATCTACTATACTAATGCAGTTTGGCACCACTTTTAACTGCCTGACTTTGGAGACTGAGGGTGCATCTACACTGTAGAATTAATGCAGGTTGATACCACTTGAGCTGCCATGGAATTGTGGGATTTGTAGTCTTACAAGGCCTTAAGTCCAAGGGCATTCCTCCAACTGCATTCTTTCTGCTGCCTGGAGGAAGGCGCGCGCTCCTCAGACCAGGCAGCCGCCTCGCGCCTTCCCAGCATGCACCGGGCTGGGCGGAAGTGCTCCCGAGGGGCGTCGTCGTGGTCGGTCGCGGCCTCAAAATGGCGACCAAGGCGCCAAATACGATTTCGGGAGAGTGAAAGAGAGACCGGCAGCCGAAGTTTGGTGGCACTGACGCTCCGCGGCGGCATGGACCCCTCGGCCTGCATGAAGTCGCTGCTCCTGGCGGCCTCTCAGTACCGGGCGGCTCGCACCCAGCCCAACGCGGCGCTCCTGCAGCGGAGCCTGGAGGTGGGAAGAGCAGGAGTTGGGAACGAGGAGGGGGATTCCTTCCATCCTTCCTTCGGCCTCTCTGTCCGAGGCAGGCCTCCCGCTCTTGGGGCTTCCAACTCCCAGAAGCCCTCGTTCAGTGGGAGTTGGAGGGCCGCAGTTTGAGGAGGCCTGGTCTAAGTCTCCTCGCCCTCTTTATCGATAGGCACCTATTATGAACCGTGACTAATTGCGATCTTTACATTATTGATTGTTTCAAATTAAATGATTAAATATCCTTAAACGACCTCACAACCTCTGAGGATGCTTGCCATAGATGCAGGCGAAACGTCAGGAGAGAATGCCTCTAGAACATAGCCATATAGCCCGGAAAAACCTACAACAACCCAATTTAATGATTCATACCTATGATCTTTCAAAGCTCTTCCTGATCTTTCAATCGATCAGTCTTTTAACTGGTACTAAATAACAACACCATGGCCCCCGGTGGCGCAGTGGGTTAAAGCGCTGAGCTTGTTGACCAAAAGGTCGCAGGTTCGATTCCAGGAAGCGGCGTGAGCTTCCGCTGTCAGCCCTAGCTTCTGCCAACCTAGCAGTTTGAAAACATGCAAATGTGAGTAGATCAATAGGTACCGCTCCGGCGGGAAGGTAACAGCGCTCCATGCGGTCATGCTGGCCACATGACCTTGGAGGTGTCTATGGACAACGCTGGCTCTTCGGCTTAGAAATGGAGATGAGCACCACACCCCAGAGTCAGACATGACTGGACTTAATGTCAGGGGACAACCTTTACCTTTACCTTAAATAACAATAACAACAATAATAATAAACTTTATTTATACCCCGCCACCATCTCCCCAATGGGGACTTGGAGCGACTTACATGGGGCCAAGCCCGGACAACGTATTACAGCAATAAAATCAAAGCATAAACAATAGACAACAACAAATTATCAAAATGACATTAAAAGGGGGAAAATCATAAAATAAACATTCCAATAAACACAATCACAGTAGTGATGACAATGGGTGGGCCACATATTCAGGATAAAAACAGTTAACAAACTATAATGAAATAAAATAGGAGCAGGACGTTTATAGGGAACTACTACTTGTCTGCTGTTCGGAAAAACAGTTTTCCTTTAGAATCACCCTGTGGGTTCTTTCCTTTTCCTAGCATTATTGACTTCTTTGAGGGCCCAGTCGTGTTTTAATCCACTGTTTCCTAGACTTTGGCCTCATCCACACCGCTGAATAAAATCCCACATTTTCTGCTTTGAGCTGGAATATACGAGGGTTGAATGAAAAGTAATGCCTCATGAAAAGTAATGCCTCCACCTTCATTACACCTCAACAGATGACAGTACTGGTATGTGGCAGGTACTGGCTTGTCCAGTAGACTCTCCTCTACAGTTCCATTTTGGCAGGAAGCCTTATCATTGAACAGTTGTGTTAAAGTGCGAAGCATGGAACCCTGCGCAGACGGTCGGTCAATGCGACTAAAGCAATGTGCAGTCATTTAATTCGTGACAGCAGAAGATGTCACCCCTAAGGAGATTCATCAGAGAATGCAAGCTGTTTATGGTGATTGTGTTGATGTGAGTACTTTGCGTCGTTGGGCCAGTGAGTTTAAAGATGTTGAGGCAACACCTTCTGCTGTCAAGAATTCAATGACTGCACGCTGCTTAAATCGCATTGACCGACCGTCTGCGCAGAGTTCCATACTTTGCACTTTAACAACACAACCATTTAATGTTAAGGCTTCCCACCAAAATGGAACTGTAGAGGAGAGTCTACTGAACAAGCCAGTACCTGCCACATACCAGTACTGCTGTCTATTGAGGAGTTACGAAGGTGGAGGCATTGCTTTTTATTCAACCCTCATATGACAGTGTGGACTCAGGGCCCTTCCAGACCGGCCCTATATTCCAGGATCTGATTCCAGGTTTTCTGGTTATCCCAGTTTATCTGGCAGTGCAGATTCATATAATTCAGTTTAAAACAGAAAACCAGGGATCAGATCCTGGAATATAGGGCCTGTCTGGAAGGGCCCTAGGATTGATCCCTTCTTCTTGTTCTTCTGGGATATAGCGTCTATGTGGAAGGGCCCTTAAGAAAGCCACAGCTTCCAGTTGAGTTGACAGTTATTTGGACCAACTGGTCATTACAAAACACTTTCCTATATTCCTGAAATTTGAAAAAAAAATCTGCTATGAATTGAAAAGTGTAATTTCCTACTATCTCTATTCCTTGTCTATGTGTGTATGTGTCCTTAAGTTGCCTGTTGACCTATCAGATCCTGGGATATAGGGTTTATCTGGAAGGGCCCTCAGATAGCCCAGTTCAAAGCAGATATTGTTGGATTTCTTTCCTTGATATTCTGGGTGGAAGGGCCCCTTGTTTTCCAGATGCTTTGGGCTCTGGTTCCCAGCATTCTTAGCTGTTGTTCCAGGCTGTCTGGAATTGAATTTGAATTGAAGCCGGTGAACCTAAATTTGTGGGTGGTTGCTTTAATCAATAACATTTATTATGAGCCGTTCTGAGAGCCCTGTGTGCTGAACAAAACAAATTCCTTTCCTTTGGTTTAAAGCCCATCGAGTGCTTCTGAGTGGAGATGTAACTTGTTATGTAATAAGCACTTAGAAAAAAAATGCCATAATCAAAAACCAACATCGGTTTCTAAAAAAAAACCCCAAAAACCTCATGGCAAACAAACCATATTTTCTTTTTTAAAATAGTGTTACAAGCTTGGTAGATGAAGGGAATGCTGTGGATGTAGCAAATCCCGATTTCAGTCAGGCCTTTGACAAGATTCCCCATGACGTTCTCACAGAGAAGCTAGTAACTGGGCTTCTTTTTTAATTATTATTTTATTGATACATTCAATTAGCAAACTTTTTCCATATGAGTCTTATCTCAATAGTCACTTTAGCTTAGATGGCACATTATATATTCCTTATGTGTGTATCACCCATTTCCCATGCGCTCTCCCCAGAGGTAACAGGGCTTCTTAAACCTTTTCCACTTCTGACCCCTTTTTGCCTCAGAAATTTGTACATGGCCCTGAGAGTGGGAAACAGACATAAAAGCCAAACATTAACTTATAATAAATAAGCATTTGCAAGGAACTATAAACAGGCTGATTTGCAAGGAATGCTAAACAGGCTGTTTAAGGACTTTCTTGTGTCTGTATTACTATCAAGTTTCTACCAAAATGATTCTTCTTGTTTCAGGTCATCTCAGGACTGAAGCTGACAAAATTCTTTGCTTCAAATCAGATTTTACCAAGTGAATGTCTGAGCTGTTTAGTAGAGCTGATTGAAGACCCAAATATAAGCCCATCACTAGCCTTGAGTGTTGTGGGCTTGCTCTCTCAACTAGGTGAGCCCTAAAAGCTGCTTCTAACTGGTAGGATATCTTCCAGGGTGGTCTAGGGGACCTTTCAGACAGGCTCTATATCCCAGAATCTCATCCCAAGTTTTCTGTTTATCTCAGATCTGGCAGTGCAGACTCATATCCTGGGATATAGGGCCTGTCTGGAAGGGCCCTAGGATTGATCCCTTCTTGTTGTTCTTCTGTCACCAGGTGACCTTTTTTTCCACCAGAATTTGGAAACTCACAACAAGGGCTTTCAATAATATGCTATTTAATTTTAAATGGTTTTAATTCTATAGACTGACTAAACACATGTATTCAAATAATAATACAAATATTTATGTTGCATATATAACATTTTTCATAGTTAATGAGAGAATATTGTGTAACACATAGAATTGATTGATATCTAACTTCCTCGTGACGTCTGTGAAGCTGGAAAGGAGTAGATTATCACTTTTTCATTGGTTTGAAGATAGAAACAAACTTGTTTCAAATATATAAAGCTCGTAATGCATACACAACTGGAGCATCTTCTTAGTGGAGTTATTTATCTTGTGTTTAGAATATTAAAAATGTCAATTCAAGAGACATAGCATAATTATCTTAAGATATACAATATTAGAGAAGTTATAATTGAAATGGAGAGAACAGCAATATATTGCTGTCCTGACTTATAATCACTAAAAGCTGATTCCTTTAATTGTTTACAAATATGAGACATGGTACTTCTCATATTTGTAATCATACATATTTTTGATCAAATGTTTATATATGTTTACCTATTAGTTCTAGACAATGAGACCAGAGAAGCTCTTCAGAATACTTACAATCTGTGTAGTGTTCTGGCAGGTGTGATTCTTCGAAGTCCTAGCAACCCTATTGAACCAATATTACTCCAGGTAAGAAAATACAATGGTTAATTAATTATATAATAACAGTTTTAGAATTGAGTTAGTCTCCTGTATAGGATTTTGAGGCAGACTAGTCACATCCAACAAATGCCATGTGCTGTAGAAAATGAGATCGTAGTATCTCTTATCCAAAATGCTTGGGACCAGAAGTATGTTGGAAGTTTTCAGATTTTGGAATATTTGCATATAGATACTGAGATACCTTGGAGATGAGACTCAAGCTGAAAAACAAAAATAATTTGTGTTTCACGTACACTTTATACATATGGTCATTTTATGCACAGTGTTTTAATGGTTTTGAACATGAAACAAAGTTTGTGTACCATCATAAGGCAAATAAGTCACAAATTTGGGACTTGAAGCTTTTTGGATTTCAGGGGAAAGATCTGGCAAACCCACATCTGAATATTCCTTGCCTAAGAAAATAACATGAAATTTATGGAATTGCCATAAATAGCAGGTGACAAAGATATGCAGACCTACTTACTTCAGCCTGATAGATTTTTTTTGTGTCTTCGAATGATGCTCTGAATTAAATGTGAAACAATGTCTACAATGCCAGATATTGTAAGATTCCCAATATATGTGCACATTTACATTCGTAGTCTTGTGGTTTTAATTCTTTACAAAAAAAATCTCACTGGCTGTCTTGAATTACATCAGTAGAGCCATGGCACAATTTTGTTTACATTTCTATATGGTTTAAGATAACTATAAAAAGGAGTAGTAGTAATACTATTGCTAATACTAAACTTTATAGAGCCTCTATCTCCCTGAAGGGACTAAGAGCAGTTTTTAACAAATATGGCAAACGTTCAATGCCCAAAGAAAAACGATACAAACAGTTTACATAAGGACAAAACATATTCGACAATAGAAAACACCATAACTATAACTTAATAATCAAAATAGCAAAAAATAAAAATAAGAAATTAAATAAAAATAAAGTAAAAACATAAAATACAAAATAAAACCCTGATAAAACACACTAAAAATAAAATATATAACCGAATACATGGGAGTTCCATCAGGCAAGTTTCAACAATACCAGTGCTAAGGAGTGCTAAAAATAGACCTAATCAATTAAAAAGGACTGAGTGAGGGAGAGTGCAAACAGCGTATCATAGGGCTGGGGAAGTGGATAAGTTGCAGAACAGATGACTGTCTGACGAACTAAGGACTAATTGTTCTCGAAAACTTGCTGGAACATCCAGGTTGCCAGTTCTCTATGAAAGGAGGACAGTGTGAGGGTTTCCTTAATCTCCCTGGGGAGGGTGTTCCAAAGTCAGGGGCCACCAAATAATCAAGTAAACATATAGTGACTGTACAACTTCATTTATTTATGGTATGTTACAAATATTAAGTCATAAAGTGACTGTATTTGGAGGCTTTGCTATAAAACCAAAATATGACTAATTAGATTCTCTGAAAGAAACAGTTGTTTGGCCAGGCAAGTATATTCCTATCTAATAATGCTTGTAAAGATTCGTATGATGAACTTGAATGGTTTAAAATCTTGGTTTTACTGTTTTGATTTATCAGCTGGAACAATAATAAGGCACACAGTGGATTATTATTTCGGTACCATTTTAAAACAGTAGATTGTTAATCTCCACATCACAAAGTGGAATGGAAATTAGTCTTATAAAAGGAAATATTTTTTTCAGAATCCAAGGCTAAGATAAATCTTTTTTGTTATTTCCTTTATTGGTTTTCATTTTATTTCTCAGAGTGTTCAACTGCTTCAGAAATTGACCTATACTTCAAGAGTATTTCACACATGTGCTCATATTGATGACTTGGTTTCATTCCTTTTGAATCGTATGTAAGTAACTTCTTTTTCTTTTTTGAAGATTTTTCAGAAAAGAATTTATTAAAATGCAATATTAGCCTGCTATACAGATTAAAAGTCATTTTAACAATATAAAATGTATTGCCTATTTCTTGGATTGGCATAAAAGCATCATATGACAACACTGCACTTTCGTCCCATTCCCTAGTTCATGAGCTACAACTTGCACTATCCCATTCCCCTGCTCCTGGTTACGGTTGGCCATGTTTTATGATAGTTGTCATCATAGGTCATTGGGCGCTGTTTTAAGTTTAAATAATTGTTTTATATGCTGTGGTTATATTTTTTATTTCTTGTGTTGTTCCATGCACATTGTGCCATATGCAAGCCGCCCCTAGTTCCGTTGGGGAGATGGAGGCGGGGTACAAAAATAAAGTTATTATTAGATATATTAAAAGTATAATTTATTCAAAATCATATTTAAACTTTCATTTATGGCTACATTTTTCTATCATTCTATAGAGTCCTGAATTTATAAGATCACCTGAACTGGACAGGGCTTCTTTCGTCAGTTTATGGAGAGCAGAAGAAACAACTAATTTAGAAAATGAAAATTATTTTGGCTCCTCGTCCTTCATTCATCCTCAGCACATATAGAATCATAAAGCTGAAAGCACTCATATCCATAAAAAGAAATGTGAAAAAGAAAACAAGACAAGGAATTGTAGCAGTGATACTGTACATCTTCCAACATAGAAGACTTACTGCCACATAGAAATAATATTGGGGTCAGGAGTAAATATAGGAATGCTTTCTCTGAAATAATTTATTAGGCATTCTAAAAAAACTCTTAATACACTGTTCAACGGAGAAAAATTTGTGGGCCTGAAAATAGTTGTTCTTTTATGATTTTTGGGTGCTGAAAACGAAAATGACATTTTAAAATGTATATTGGCTTTAGTTTTTATGATATAAGCAATCACATGATCACGTATGTTTGAAAAAATGCATGTTGCGACTTACACTATGGAAGATTGTAGAATACTCTAGAAAGTTTGATGACGCAGTATTAGTGCCGTGTGCAAAAGCCAGAAAGCCCTATATAAGACCAGACCTTTGAACGGTGAGGGTCAGTCAGTTGAAGACTGAGACAGTATCGTTAAACATTGTTTTACATTGTTCTTTTTACTGTAGTTATGCCTCGCACGTGTGTAAATAAAGCACTATGGAAAAAAGATATCAAGGCAAATGGACTCCGTCAATGCTGTCAGACTACTGCTGGAGCATTGTAAGAGACAATCCTTTCCTTGAATACAAAAGAAAAGTCAAGAGAAGCAAACAGGATAAAAACTAAAGTCACGATTAAAGCGACATTTAAACTTTCAGACTTTTCAACTGCATTGGGCCTACTAATATAGTTTTTTGCTGCACAAACATAAACAAAGACTAATTAAATAAATATTTCTCATGTATAAACTATTGGCAATATAATTTGACTAAAATTTAGTAAATATTCACGGTTTATATACATGCAGTAAGGTTAGGCGCATTATCATAATATTAACGAATTACCTATTGTGGAGAAAATTGAAATAGCTGTTGCATAAAAACCAGAGCCAATTAACACATTTAATTATTATATTTAAATTCAGCATGTTAAATTTATTAAGAAACGGCACATTTTGTTTCCGCAACTGAGAAAAACTGAAAATTTGTAGAACAGTGATATTTAAAAACATTTCTACTAAATTGGCTTTGGCTAAAGAACAGAAGATTTCTTTCCCCAGAAATTTTTCATTTGTTCTTGGTATTTCAGAAGTCCCTCTGCACATTCTATTACATTATATTAATACATGGTTGTTTTTTCATAAATTGTTCAATGGTGACCTGACAGAACCCACTCTGACACTCATAGCTGTATGTTTTTGGGTAATGTAGTATACGTTTGGACAGCTTAGTTGGTCCATTTCTGCAATGTAGCCCTTAAGACCATTTTAGCTTAATAAAAGACATAATTGATGCAGTGATACATTTCATGTTTCTTTTTGCTTATATTTGTTTTTATTTAAGATCAGTCAGTACCAAAGCTTACAGGACAATGAACATAATAAATAACACAATAAATAACCTAAGAAACATAATTTCAAATATCTATTACATTAAATGTAGTAAAGAAAACATCATACTATAGACAGAGGAAACCTATCAAATAAACATCAGAGCAGGATTTAAAAAGTAGCCTTTTCAGTTCAATTTCTTAGCAGTATGAAGGTCTCTTTGGGGAATAATGAAATTAGTTTATAGCTTTTTGTAAACAACAAGCATCTTACTCATTGGACTTTTATTTTAGCCAGTCTGCCGAAGATGAGTTAACTATACCATGCCTGGGGCTTTTGGCAAATCTGTGTCGACATAATCTTGCCATTCAAACGCACATCAAATCATTGGTAAGAAACCTCCTTAAGTGAAAATTCTCCTTGGTTTTTGTTTTGGATATAAGGAAAAAATAGGAGAATATCTTTATTTGAACATTGATAAATTTAGCATTTTAAGTGAGCATGTGCAAAATGATAGCATATTCATGAACTATTACAACATCATAAGCTCAAAATTTCTTCCAAGGGACATAGAAGGAAATGAATTTTAAAGAAATGGTCTAGGTAATTTGGCACACTTTCATTCCATGGCCAATATTCTCTGCATGTATAGGGAAAGTTATATGGCGTACAACTATGCCATAGTAGTTATGCTGGATCTCACAGTTGTGAGTACACTTACTAATCAGATTCTACAGTCTTGATTTCATGAACAGCCCAGGATTCAAGTGATGGTAGTGGAGAGACACTATGCCTTTTGGCAGAAGGATTGGCTGTGCTTAAAGTTGTACCTACACCTATTTTGAGAAAATGTAACTACTTATCCAACTGTTTTGAGTTGGACAAGTTTCCAGGTTGCTCACCAGAGCGGCGTAAAGGGAGCATACAACTCCTTTGTTACGCCAGCTTCACTGGCTGCCGATCTGCTACCAAGCACAATTCAAAGGCTGGTTTTAACTTTTAAAGCCCAAAACGGAACCTATCTCCTGTTACGAACCATCGTGAAGTTTAAAATCATCTGGAGAGGCCCTGCTCTTGATCCCACTGCCGTTGCAAATGCGATTGGTGGGGAAGAGGGACAGGGCCTTCTCAGCAGTGGCCCCCCTGTCTATGGAATTCACTCCCCAGGGACATCAGATTGGCCACCTCCCTCCTGTCCTTTAGAAGGAAACTCAAAACTTGTTTATGGGACCAAGCGTTTGATCATTGAATAGCGGCAAATGTAAAGAAGACATAAGCAATTTGAAGTGACAGTGAACTGACCCGGACTTTGGTTTTAACTGGCGTATTTTTAACAATTCTTTATTTAATGTTGTTTTAATGAATTTGTTGAATGTTTTTATGATTGTGCTGCCACCGAATGGTGCTTGCTGTGAGGCCGCCCTGAGTCTCCCCTCGGGGGTGAGAAGGGCGGGGTACAAGTGTACAAAATAATTAAATAATAAATATTTTTACACAAATATATCTGTTGAACAGGACTTTGACCTAGGCATCCATCATTACATACATGGTAAAGACATCTCTTGCCTAATTGAAATTGAGAAAGTGAGGTGCCAAATTCTGTATGAAAGAAAATCAAGAAAAGAGAAAGATCCTTCTCTGCAGTATGTTTGGATATCATTACATTTTGTTTGATAATACAGCTGATATTTCTAAATTACCAATATGTTCCAAAAAAGTAAGAGCAGTGATTAAAGACCAGAATTGAAGCAGTGCCAAGAGTAATTCTAATTCTGAGATAAAACATGTGACTGTGCTATTTCAAGGGCATGGTGAAATATGGCTTTAAAATATAGTAAAAAAGAGTTAATATTGTTTGCTTAAGTGGCTGTTAATTGGAAGATAAATTGAAAGAGTGAAAACATCTTTTGAGGGTTTTGAAAACTAACCTTTTCTCACAATTAAAGAATTGAAGGATGTATAATAAAGTATTTCAAACAGTGAGAAGTCTTTTCCTGTTTTCTTCTCTTTCTCCGTTCTTTTCTCCTTTTTTTCTATAGAGTTTAAATGTTGGGTTTTACCTGTTTATGTTGTAGTTTTTGGTATTTCTTTTTTATTGTCCAGCTGATTTTTTATGAGTATGATACTTGATAAACACAAATTCAGTTTTTGAAAATTTTATAGCATAGAATGTATTGATTTAAGCTGTAGTGTATTCTAAATACTTTTCTTACGAATATTTTTCTGTTCTCTGTGCTAGACCAATGTGAAGAGCTTCTATCGCACTCTGATCAGTTTTTTGGCTCACAGTAGTCTAACAATGGTCGTATTTGCACTTTCAATATTATCAAGTCTTACATTAAATGAAGAAGTTGGAGAAAAGGTAAGGATGAATGTTTATTCTGTTCTAAAAGAAACTCTTAACATCTATCATGTTAATCTCACATATTATGCATGCCTGGATGTGCAATTACCTCGACATTCAAGACAAGTTAAATAGTCTTCCCATTCTCCTTTTTATGTCTTTTCCAAACCCATTGAATCATAGTTATTACTTCCGTATTTCATTTTTCAAAAGTTTGCCTTGATATAACTTGCTCTGCAATATCGGTAAAATTCATATAGTTGTTGATTAGGATTGTTTGTTTAGCTTTTTCATTCCAGAAATATTCATCAGACTTTCCAATTAATATTCAACATTCTTGTGAATGGGGATGGAACACTAACAAGGAAATATTCTGTTGATCTGCTCATGGACCTGCTGAAAAATCCAAAAATTGCAGATTATCTTACAAAGTATGATTTTCAAAATATATTTACCAATATTCTGTTTTGTCTTTGAGTTTTTGCATTTCCAGTACATTTTGCCCTACTGAGTAGATTATGACATTGCTGCTGCTGCTGCTGCTGCTGCTGCTGCTGCTGCTGCTCCTCCTCCTCCTCCTCTTCTTCTTCTTCTTCTTCTTCTTCTTCGATCTAACCCTTTCCTTTTAGTCCTATGCACAGGCTTTCGTTTATACATAGGTAGGCAATTGAATCTTTGGCCATCTCATCAACAATATCGATCCAGTTTCGAATCATTTGTTTTCAGATTTCAACCTAACTTTAAAGTGTCATAAAATGTTATAAATGCATACTGTTCATGAAATGCTCTCTTAATACCATTTACTTACTTCTATGTTTGAAGTCATCAGAATAGCTTTAGTAATGTTTTAAGGCTGGAAAATGAACATACAGCCAGGAGCTACAATTTAGTCAGATGTCTCCAAGCATAATTTCTCATTCTGTCCATAAACAGTTTTGAAACAATCAGGAACACTAAAGTTAGTTTAATATCTGGTCTTTTCTCAAGGCTGCTAAGCATAGTTTCCTACTCTAGATGATATGGGAAACTATATTCTAAATTAGAGGCTTCCTTCTATAAGCATTACACAATGGGGAAGTGAAGGAGCTACTTGTATAGGGAAAGGACTGCTTTATAGTTTTGCTCATTAGGCACAGTATGAGTATCTGAACAAAATTTAGTCTTTTTGAACCTTGGAGTCCATTCATTTCTCTTGTGACATTGAATTATATTAAGTAATAAATATTCAAAATGAGAATCAACAATGATTATTGTTTATCTCTTTTAAGATCTCATTTTCCGTTGTCTCTTATAAATATAGGAGAAATGTCAACACTGATTCTTTATTTCTTGCTAAACAACACAGGTATGAACATTTTACCTCCTGCCTAAGTCAAGTATTAGGCCTCCTTCATGGGAGGGATGCTGATTCATCAGCTAAGGTAATTTATAAATGAGCAGGCACACAATTGTATACTTTCAACAAAATCTTTCTAAGCTATTTTCCCAATTGAGGGTTAGCATTATATACTTTGTACAAAATGTGTATTCTAAATCAGTGTTTCCCAAGGTGTTTTGGACTTCAACTCCCAGAAATCCCAGCCTGGCTTACCAGCTGTTAAGAATTGTGGAAGTCCAAAAGGAGCACAGCTTGAGAAACTATTCTAAAATTTTCAACATTTAATTCTTAATATTAAATCCCCAGGAATTAAACAACGTACTTTGGCATGCTATAAACCTTTAAGAATGTTAAAGATACTGGCTTGTTAGGTTCGGGTTTCATCATGCAGTTTTATTGTTATAGTGGCATTAAACTTCATACTCATGGCTTCTTTTACTTTAAAAATAGTTTGCTGAATGAATTGTCATAGGGTGTGTCAATGAATTAGAGAAACTTCATTTTCCTTACATACAATTGTTGAGATAGCTAAATTGCTACTGGGTAGTCCTCAGCAAATACATTTGTTCTTTCTATGTTGTCTTCTGTGTAGATGTGTGGGTTATACTGTGCATAGCTCCTTTTCATGAATACTGTGTCCATAAGACACTTTGTATATAGGTTTACTCTGCCATTCTGTAGTCGTTGCTTTATCTGTGGAAGAACTTGGCGTTTTTCAGGGAATTTGTTAGAGTTAAGTCTTTTGTTGCTATTTCATTTAGATCCCAAAATAATGTTTTACAATATTCTAAAATACTCTTATCCATTACTATAAGAGGATTTTGCTGTGAAGATAAGAAAAATGTTTTTATTTTTATGCATTTCATTCAGGTGTTAGAGTTACTCCTTGCCTTCTGTTCGGTAACAGAACTTCGTCATACTTTGCGTCAAGCAATATTGGAACCAAATAAAGCAAGCAGTGGAAGTTCAAGACTTGCAACTCGATCGAAACCTTCAGAGCCATCTGTTGTCTTAGTACATTGGTCAAACCAACCATTGGAAGCATCTGAAAAATGCTCAAATCTGGCCTTGGAGCTGTTCAAAGAGATACTTGAGGTATCTAATTTATTAGTGGATCTGAATAGGTTCAAGTCCATTCATTGGACAAAGTGAACATTTGATGTACTGTCTGAATTATGTACACAGAAAAAGCAATTTATTTTCCTTTTCACTAATGACATGTTATAGTAGACATGGTACTGGCTTCCATCCAGTTGAACCTTGTTGCTGAGGGTTTTATATAAATGTAAGTGTTTATTAGGACAAAAATGTTATTGTTTTGCTATACAATATCTCAGAAGTTCATATCTGAATTTATTTAGGAAAGAGATTAAGTTCAAGCTGCTGATTTGGCCTATATCCTAGATTTCTATATGATTTTGTAAGTCAGTTCTGCAGCTATTACATGTGAGTTAAATTACTGTTTCAAAATCTGTTTTGGGTCTGAAAAATTATAAATTAGATGTTGTGTGCACAACAATTACAATTAAAACTGAACCAGCATAGGATTCTCTCGATATATCCTGTAATGATAAATCAAAAATAGCAGGAAAGCATTCTGTGTTAAAGATATGATGTGAAGGCTGAATAGTTTTAGACTAAGAAGTCAGATTTGGCAGCTGAGATAGAATAACATCTTAATCTGCAATTTAGTATTCACACTTCATTTATTATTTCTGCCACAGGATGTCATAGATACCGGTAATAGTACTACAGCCGAGCGCTTTGTGGATCTTCTCCTGCCTGTTCTCCTTGACCATCTTCATTGCCCAGATCATACAATGGAAGATGTGTTGGCAAAGAAGAAATGTGAAAGAATGATCAGAGCCATTGATATCTTGATAAATATCCTTGAAGCAAGTTTTATTGTGATGATTAAATTTGTCAAGAAAGTGCTCTTTTGCGAAATAAACTTGGAAGAAATCAATTTGCTTTAGGACCAAAATGTTGTCTGAGCAATCTATAGAAGATACCTTGTCTGGTATTTAGACACAAATGAAAGCCACTTAAACTATATGTTTCTGTTTGAGCTTTTTGGCTAAAGGACCATATTTATTATATTGTGAATTGCTGAAAAGTAGATAGAGAGTATTCTCTAGTTATCAGATATACTGTGGGATGCTGGTTTAAAACATGATTTTTCTTTAAAATGTATATTTGTATAAAATGTATACAAATGTATAAAATATAAAATGTATTAAAAAAATGACCAGTGAACTTCCTTAAGATCTGAAACTGTAAGTCAGGGCTCTATATCCTTAACTGAAAAATACCGCTTTGTGCAGATGACATGCTAAAAATGTATGTTACTAAAGTTCTCACAACTAGCAAATGTACATCTTTAATTGAACACCAGTTTACATGCAATGAGGTTGACTTTGGCTTTGGAGCAAAAGTAATGGATACTGAACTGAGGTGAGCAAAACTGAAAAAATGTATAGGCAGAATTGCTTAAGTTCATAGTTAACTTTTTAACTTAACTTTTTCTGCAAATAACTTAACTCCATTATGTAGTTGACGAATCTAGTAGCTGACAAGCTGTGCTTGATATTGAAGGCCTGTATGTTCATTTCAATATTCTGGAGATTTTTCTGGTATGGAAATATTTTTGGAAGATTTGTTTAAGCTTGTTTGCACATTTTGAGAAGAGCAATATTACATAGTCAAAACACCACACTGGTAATATGTGAAAATAAAAATAACTACAGAAACATTTTTGATAAAATACAGGAATGCCACCCCAAATTTGATCCCTTTATGTCAAGGAAATAATTATTCAGGCAACAGAAGAGAGCACCTATGGAGCTTGATACTCTGTATACCTGTCTCATTCCTCCAGTGACCTTCCTATCTAAAGTAGAAAATTTTGCTGGCATTTCTTTATACGCTTACCTGACAATGAGCAGAAGCTTCCATGTGATTGTTAGGCCTGCAGTAACAGTAAACCTGGTCACACGGAGGTTCCTTTTTATATTCAAGCACCTGGTAAACTTTGCAACTTGGAGTGATAAGGACAGGACCAGCATACAGGGGCACCCAGGAAACAGATAAATAGCAAAATCAAAAAACTTTGGAAGAAATACATGGGCTCTCCACTGATAACTAACATAGAATTATTTTTGCTGATTGGTTTCATAGGATTTAAATTTTAAAACAATCAAGTTTTAACTGGTTTTAATATTGTCTCATAACTGTATTGCATTTTATTTTGTAAGCCATCACTATGGATGTTTAAAATACCTCTAAAGAGAGTATATAAATGCTAACAAAAACAGATACAATAGAAATTAGGACAAGGGTAAAAACCAGGGCTGTGCAGTTTTTTCATAAGTCGTATCAATTTCGTAAAATGTGTACTTAGAACCAATGCGCAAGGGTGGCCCGCACCAAAAAACTTAAGAATTGAAATGTTCCCAATACTTTTTCGTTTGAATTTTGTAAATCTCGGAAGCCTCCCAAAATCAGTTGCATTTTCAACCTAAGGAAGCAAAGCTTTTCCTCTTTAAATTAGTGGCCTCTTGCAATTAGAAGAGGGAAGCAGCAGGGAGAAAACAGAGTTCGCTGGGAAAGAGACTTCAAAATCACAGAATTCTGGGAAATGTAGTTTGGGAAGGTGAGGAGCCATATGCCAGAGAATTCAAAAGGCCCCACCCTAAACTACAATTTCCAGAATTCTGCTCAGCATCAGAAAGCTCCAATCGGGAGAAATTTGTCCTCCCGTAGCAGCAGTCATCCAGTTCCAATAAATTGTTGAATCTGCAAAGAGGAGGACTGACCAATACTTCTCGAAAGTAAATCTCTATATTGTGCTGGGAAGAAATCCCTAAATTGAAATTCTATGGGTTAATATGAGAGATATTTTGTTGCAGCTTTTTTAAAAATAAGGTTTTGTCAAAACGTTTTTAAAATTCCCTAAAATCGGTAGATGTACAAATATTTCTGAAAGTTGGGGGGAATGATCTTTTGCTATCTTGTGCAGAGATATTTTAATTTATAGAAAATTCAAGGAGATAGCTCTTGCAGTGTTCAAAATGTTTATAAAAACTTTGAAAACCGAGTCGCCTAAGGGCTGAGAAGAGCGGTATACAAATAAAGTAAATAAATAAATAAAACTCCTCAAAAATCTGTGGATAAGTGAAACGTTCTGAAACTTGATGGACTAACAGTGGTAAATGTGTTCTACCATTGTAGCAAGTTTCACCCTAATAGCTGTAAAAATGAGGAGAAAAGAGCCCCTGAAATTTCCCCACTTACACAATTACTGTAATGAAAAAGTAATGAATTTTTGTTACTCTCATTATAGCAATGAAATTTTCACATTTCATGATGCTTTAGAAACAAAATGGTGGCACCCCATAATTCTGTAATGGGTTGTGAAAATTTTTTTTTCAACAATTGCATGGTAAAAACCCAATAGCCAGTATCAGTAGCTAGAGAAAGCTTGCCTTTCTTGATAGTTTAAACCTGTCTGCAAAATGAGAACAAAAAATAGAATGTGAAAAATTTTAAAGGTGATTACCACAGCCAAAAACATCATCAAGGTTTAGTCTTCCTTTCTTAACCCACTGTACACATAGTGATTAGGACATTTATTTATTTATTTATTTATTTATTTATTTACAGCATTTCTACTCCTCTCTTCTCAGCCCCGCATTTTGGGCCATGTTTGTACTTTTAGTAAGTTTTAAAAATGTTCATAGCATAGCTGGTGGTAGCTTGAATGTATTTATATTCAGAGGAGAAATTAGTTGAAGTAGAAATTTAATTAGGTAAATGTTTGATATATTTTAGTCTCTAAAATGAAACTATTCTATGCTAACTGTCAAATGCTTTATTTTCATTTCTATTTTTGTCCAGTAAGCTTGCTGCTGATCTAATCCTAAAAATGCTAGATCTCATGAGCAAGCTTAAGCAGTTGGTACCTAATATGGAAGTCAGCTTTTATAAAGTTCTTCAAGTAAGTCGTTTTGTGTGTTTTTATTTGATTCCTATTAAAAAGAGTGCATGATTACAATCATTTCAGTAGCAGTGAATGAGAGTATTATCAAAGTAATCTTCATTGTGAAAACATGCAAGTACTTAATTTTCCAATTCAGGCAAAAGTCATTCAGCTTTCTTGAGGCTTTAGTCAACATAGCACTAATCAAATGTTGTTAAGTAGGCTTATTACTTTAGCAATTACTTGTTCTACAGACAGTTAAAATACCACTGTTTATTTTCCCCATTTCAGATCAGTTTTTATTCATCTTTTTCATGGTGGGTATCCTGGGAAATGCATTTTGGTTCTGATATGGAAAGAGCAACATAGGTTTAGTTATAACTATAGTATATCTTCTTCTGTCTCCTCCTCTCTTTGAGGTAAAACATTTTTGAAAGAAAAAAAAAACCCAAACACAGAACTAAGGTGCCATTGATTGTAACACACATCACATTTTTGGAGTCCCTAAAATGGGGGGGGGGGTACCTTAAAACTGCTGAAATGTGGTATATCACACGGTAGGAATTCAGCAGATAAAATGAAAATGTTTACAACATGTATTTCCTGTGGACTTGTTGTTTTTAAAGTTATAATTAAAACTGATTAATGTTTTGTGCCTAGGATCAGCGTCTGGTTACGCCTTTGGCATTTGCTTTAACATCAGATCACAGGGAGCAAGTGCAGGCTGGACTCAGACTATTATTTGAAGCAGCACCATTACCAGATTTTCCCGCCATAATGTGAGTTCCTTCTAACATTTTTTAAAATTGTCTTTCATATTAATGTTATTGCTAAGTTGTTTTCCCTTGCAGTTCTCCCAGATTTTACCCCCATTTCAGAAGAGGCTTGCTTATTTATATTTAATTGCAGTTCTTTTTGTTCACGTTATCTTTTTTTGTTTTTTGTCTTTATACAGGCTTGGTGAGAGTATTACAGCTAATAATTCGTACAGACAACAGGAAGCAGAGCATGTATCCAAAAGAAGCCACATGCAAACATCCCTGACCTGTGTTAACTCACTGAAGTGCTCTATTAGTTGCCCTCCAAATGATGATGTTGAGATGCACAACGTTCAGGAACTGATAGAGAAACTCCAGTCTGGCCTGGAGGTTAATGTTTTTAATGTGCATCCTATTTTGATAAAAGCCTCTTTGTCGTGGTCTATATAAAATACAAGACATTCTGTTCCAAGCTACTGTTAGATTTTGGAGCCAGTAGTTCAGTATGGAATACACATTGGGATTTGGTGACACCACTGAAATCAGTAGGACTTACTTGCAGGCAGCTGAAGTTTGTTTATAGAACATTATGTTAATAGGAGACTTCTATACTCTATTATTGACATTACATTTTCTTGAAATCAGCATTTCATAAGATTCCTAAGTGTACAATACAAATGAGTGTTAAATGGTTCTATTTGCAGTGTAATGTTTACAGTAAATACAGGGCATCTGTTTTATGAAGTATCAATATAATTATATGTTTCTAAGAATGCCTTCTGTGAAGATTATTATGCTATTGATCTGTTAGTATGGGAAAGTGGACAAATGTTGATTATCTGCCAGTGCTGAATCCATTACTCTTATCAAGCATTTCTTTTATCCGTATGTTTAGAATCATAACTCAAGTTTTGCATGTTGTGTAGCAGCTCATACTGTCAACATTTCCCACAGATGAAGGAATCAGTCACAGACATAAGGATTTCTGAAATAATGGATGTATATGAGCAGAAATTGTCTGCATTAGCAGTGAGTACACATTTAATATGCTTGTTTCATGTGCATACTTTCTTTATATTTGTGTTTCAAACTAATTAGTTTCTGTTTTATTTTTAGTCTAAAGAAACAAGGTTGCAGGACCTTTTGGAAGCAAAGGCATTAGCTCTTGCTCAAGCGGACAGGCTTATTGCTCAGTATCGTTGCCAGAGAGCTCAAGCTGAAACAGAGGTGAGTAAAACTGAAATCATCAGACAAGAATTGAGTTAGTGTCTGCTCATTGCTACCACTGAAAAAGTCCTTACAACTGTGCACATTATTATTTCTTTAATTAGGTTATCCTATTTTAGAATATGACAATTCAGTCTGAATTATAAATAATAATAGTAATAATAATACTTTTTTATTTCTTACTCACCTTTCCTCATGGCTCAATTTGTTTTAGCTACAATTATCAATTATAAGATGGACTTGCAGGGATGTCAAGTTCCAAAACAGTTTAAATTATATTTAAAAATTGTTATGTGTCTTTTGAAAGCTACTGGTTTAATATTGAATTCTCTTAGAGCAAAAAAGTGGGTTTTGGGGGGGGGGTGTTTGTTTTTTGGTTTTTTTTTTGTTTTTTTTGTATTTTCACATGCATTTCTGTGCACATCCAATCTTTAGAACAGAGTTGGGAAACATGCATCAGATTAGCCTGGGGAGACATAATATATCCTTTACAGTGGGCACAACAGGTTACAAGCCTCTCTCTCTCTCTCTCTCTCTCTCTCTCTCTCTCTATATATATATATATATATATATATATATATATATATTGGATATATTGCCTATTTAAAAAGCAACTAAAAACCTTTTTATGCTCACAAGCATATAGAGAGGAGGACATACAAGATACCTGACACAAATATAATGGAATGAAATATGCAATGGCATGTTATTCTGGCTTTTAAAATTTTAATGTTTACATCTAAGCTTTGTTTACAAATGCTTATCTTTTAAACTTGTATTTTAGCTGTGTTATGCCTAATTGGTTGTAATGTTTTACTGTTTTATGTTGGTGTCTAATGTGCTATTAGTTGATTTATGGTTGGTTTATTTGTTTTTGGTCGCACTTTATGGCATTGAATGTTTGCCGCTGTATGTTGTGAACCGCCATCAGGGAGATAGGGCAGACAGAAATAAAGTTTTATATTTTGGTGGACCTCGAAATATACTCCTAATAGTAGTAGTATTAGGAGCATGAGGTAATTTACTTTCTACTGGAATAATTCTCTATGTTTTTTCAAAAAGGCTAGGGCTCTTGCTTCAATCTTGAAGGATGCTGAACGAAAAAATGAAGATCTTGAGGCATTGTTAAAAGCACAGCAAGTAGAATCTGAACGGGCACAAAGTGATATTGAACAGCTCTTTCAACACAATAGAAAGCTCCAGACTATAGCTGAAGAGCATGAGCTACTAAAAAGATCTTCCATTGACCTCCTTCAAAAGTAAGACGCTTCATTATCCTGAAAGATAAGTAAATCCTTGACAACTCTCTCCTCTGGATAAGCATGTTTTATGATTGTATGTACTTTACCAAACTGATGTGCACCTAAAACATGAGTAAGATCTGGACTTCCTTGCAGAATTTGTTCATGCTCAAATAAGGTAGAATAAGGTAGAAACAGCCAAGTTATTGTGTTTAGTGTTAGGAAAAATCTCAGAGTTAAAACACAGTATCAGTCTTACAAGAGAAACAGTAGTTGTTATCCCATTCTGGTATGCAGAAGAAGTAAATGGTACTAGAAAACATGATACACAATTTGTAAAAAACTCATTGCAATTTGTAAAGAAGCAATACATCCATATTTGAATAGGACACTTCTCTCCTAATATAAAATCACTCAGAAAATGAATTCTGTATTCAGGTCAACTAGATGCTTTCAGCCAGGAATTATTTTAGTAACTCAAGTACTCTAGCTCATTTGTGAGAACAACCATATCACTTACTCTTAATAGCAAAATGCAGATAGAAATCAAACCAAATAGCCTCTGAAAAACAAGGAACATCGAGATGTGTAGAACTGGGAGAAAGAGGAGATATTTGCTCCTGAGAAACAGATCTGAAAATGCTCAGTAACCATGGACTGTCACGTGGAAGTTGGAGAAGGGGGGAAGTGTGTGCATGTAAGAGAGAGCAAGAGAGAGAATGAATCCTAGAGAAGGACATATTTGGGTGCCTGGAATCCTGAACACTGACCCCAGTCTATTTTACAGATGTACCTTTACCTGTAATGTGTTACATGGAAAAGTATGAATAATTTGCTGAGCAGTGAATTGATTGAATTTTCATGCACGCAAGTACCAGAAATACATGATCAGCATTGCATTTAAGCCTTGTACTGAAAGTCACGCTTGTGCTGTGACACCCACCTACAGACAAGCAATGTGAATGCCACCAAATTTTCTTATTTTGAAAGTAGGAACTCCAATGTGTTATCAAAATCTTGTGTTATGAAAACCCGCAGAACAGTCATCTCATTTAATAACAATAATTTAAACATTTTAGGTATGAAGTAATAGAAAAGCAATATAATGATATGCAGCTGATGTGTAATTCATTGAATAAACAACTTGAGAACATAAAAAAGCTGAATGAGTCGCTCAAGCAACAGAATGACAAGTAAGTTCACCTCTTATTCAATTTGAAAAAGGCTGTTTTTCAGTGAACAATTCCTATAAATACTGCTTAAGGTAGCTTTTTTAATGTACTTGGAAGTTGATCACATTTTTTCTTGTCTACACTGTGAAGACTATAGAACAGAGCAAATTAATTTGTAGTAAGAGTGAAATTATACTGCGTGCCCTCTGTATCTGCTGGGGCTTGATCCCCTGCAGATCAAGGGACTGTTCAAGTCTCATTATGTACAATGGCAAGGATTTCAGACATAAAAGGCAAACATTCAATGCCGAACACAACAACAATACATCCATAGTAATGAAATTTGGCAACCCAACATATAAATACAAATTATGACTTAACAAGTAAAATTATGACTTTACAACATATATTCAGTATTCACTAATACATTCAACATTCATACTCACCGTCCCTTCCCTGGTCAGGCCTGTTGCTGCTTTGCTGAAGATCTGGCACATATTCAAAAAGGAAAAGGGTCTTACGTAGAGCTTTTTTGGTTATCCACTATTTGGTTGGGTTGCTGTGAGTTTTCTGGGCTGTATGGCCATGTTCCAAGAGCATTCCCCCCTGAGGTTTTGCCCACATTTATGGCAGGCATCCTCGGAGGTTGTGAGGTCTGTTGGAAACTAGGCAAGTGGGTGCATATATCTGTGGATTTTTCCAGGGTGGGAGAAAGAACTCTTGTCTGTTGAAGGCAAATGTGAATGTTGCAATTGGCCAGCTTGATTAACACTGAATAGCCTTGCAGCTTCAAAGCCTGGCTGCTTCCTGCCTGAGGGATCCTATGTTGGGGGGTGTTAGCTGGCCCTGGTTGTTTCCTGTCTGGGATTCCTTGTTGTTTGAATGTTGTTCTTTATTTACTGTCCTGATTCTAGAGTTTTTTTTTTGAAAAATACTGGTAGCCAGATTTTGTTCATTTTCATGGTTTCCTCCTTTCTGCTGAAATTGTCCACATACTTGTAGATTTCAGTGGCTTCATGTCAGACTACACAGAGAAGTTTTGAAAAGTTCTTCCGTCTAGTTTTGGCAAATAGTTCTGTCCTCCGGCAGCCCCTATCCCAATCCATGCTGCATTTAAAAGAGATATTTTTAGTGAGAGTTGTCGCCATGGCTGATTGGATGAGTAACTATTTCAAGAAATTGTATTTAATTTCTTCCAGTTGAGTACAGTTAGGCTGGAATGTAGCTATATGAGATCCAATTTAAGTTATAATTCAGAATGATGTTCACATACACATTTTTTCTGAAAGTCCCTTGCAGAGCCCAGACTGTGAAGCTGATACTGATTGAATTGATTGGTTGAATTTATATCCCACATTCTTCCTAAGATGAGTTTCAAGGCAGTTTATAATTATGTAAAACAATTAGGATAAATTGTTATTTTTAAGTTTTTTGGGCTTTATGACCATTTTCCAGAAGCATTCGCTCCTGATGTTTCACCTGCATCTATGACAGACATCCTCAGAGGTTGTGAGGATCTCACCACCTCTGAGGATGTCTACTATAGATGCCGGTGAAACGTCAGGAGGGAATGCTTCTGGGACATGGCCATACAGCCCAAAAAACATATTTAAAAAACCCAGTGATTCCACCCATGAAAGCCTTCGACAATAATTAGGATAATAACATTAATTTAAATAAATAAAAATACTATTTTAAACCCTAATTGAAATAGAAGCACTTCTGTCTTGTTTGGATTGTGTTTCTATTTGTTTTACCCTCATCAAGTTCATTTTTGACAGGAGACACTTGTTTAATACAGAAACAGCTTCCTTGGAATTGGATGGGGAAAAGACATAGAGTTGTATATCATCAGCATACTACAAACTTTTGCATTTGGGCTCTTTTAAAAATAGGATTGATATTCAAGTATGCATTCACCTTTGTCCAAAGCAAGAAATTCAAACTAAGTTTCCTTTCTTTTCTCATTTTTTTTAAAAAGAAAGAAATGAAATTGAGTGTTCATATGGGTAGATCAGAATTAGACTCATTCAGCATTTCCTGGAAAGGATTATGGAAGGGGAAAACCCAGTTGACGTTAATGGTGGTGGAAAACAACACTACCTTATATGTTGCCTTTCGGTTTAGTTGAGAAATAAGATCTGTGGCTGTTTTACTTTCTAATGTATAATGCTTCAATGTCAAGGAAGATAAAGTTAAAAAAATCCCTATGTATGTGATAATGTAATTCAGCAAAAATAACATCTCAGCTATTTTTACATAGCATGTTCCCAAATACCAAGTTCAAATGCTAGGTTACAACTAGATGTATATCTATGGTAGATGTACTGTTGCTCTAGCTGTTTGGTGAAAGGTTTGTCTTCTGTGGATAACAAAATGAAGGAATGTTTCAAACTTTGCTAGTATCAGTAAATGTTGTAGTATTTTCCTCTGAAGACAAGGAAAAGGGCTTCTCTTAAATTCATCTATGGAAGAACTGTAATGTTCACTTTTTCAGAACTGCTGCTCAATTGATGGAAACAGAAGAGCAAAGAAAAGAACTGCACAAACAGTTGCAAGACAAAGATGCAAAAATATCAAGTAAGTTAGTGCTAAAGCATTCTGGTTCTGTATCAGCTTCATTTGACATCTTGATTTATTGAGCAAAGGGGCAAAATACAATTGTATTCTTGTATATTTGAAAGCTTTAAGACTGAAGTCATAATTTCTGGGAAAATATCTCAGGGACTATATGATTTTTCACATTGCTCTCAATAAGCAAATATAGATACCCACATTTTGCTACCCTCAACACTCTTGTCAGGCTCTCTCAGTTTTAAAATAGCCATTTTCCTGTTAGCTTTATGAGGGTGAAGCTTAAGAAAACCCTTACTGGTTTGTATTAGTAAGTTTGCCTGGGGAAAGGTAGCCATTTTAGATTAGAGTTATTACCACCAAGGAATCTTGGAAGCAAGATGTGTCTATAGTTGGTCACAGCAAGATCCAGACTTGGACAGGCCATTTCAAGCCAATCACCACTACTATTCTGGGAACTCAATTGATTATACTGATCTACTGTTGATCAGTGGCAGCGTGTGCAGTTTCCAGCAAGGTGCCAAGCCTCAATAGGAGAGGCCTCTCTCAGCCTCTGGCCTGATCACCTTGGGCATTGGTTGCCCCAGAGGCCCTTTACCATAGAAAATGAGCAAGACAGACTTTCACCTATCCTTTGTCTACACCCTACAACCTGTTGGTCCCCAGGTGTTTTGGCCTACAACTCCCAGAAATCTCAGCCAGTTTAACAGTTGTTAGGATTTCTGGTAGTTAAAGGCCAAAACATCTGGGACTCACAGGTTGAGAACAACTGGTTTACAGAATTATCCACTAGCAGTGACTTCAAAAACAACCAGTTACCTTCACACTTTAAGTATGGACTTTGTTGTGGGGAAACCAAGATAGTGGTAGAGTAGAGATAGGCCCAAGACCAATTAAGACCTCACTACCTCTGAGGATGCTTGCCATAGATGCAGGCGAAATGCCAGGAGAGAATGCCCTAGAACATGGCCATATAGCCCGAAAAAAACTACAACTCAATTAAGAAATCGTTACCTTTTCTCTAAAGCAGTAGCCTAGACATTGATTCTGTGGGGTTTCTTGCTCAAACAGGAAAGCAAACCAGCATCCCCCAAGCTGAAGGAAAGTTAAGACACATTAGCAGAAAAGACATTTACAGCAGCTTGGGTGCAACAGTACAACTCTTGTATGATTTTTTGAAAAGATCTCAGCTGTTTCCCTGATAAGGAAAAATGCTGTGGTAGGTGGGTTTGAGGGATATAGCAAAAGCTATGGAACTTCAGAGGTGTTATCTACCTTGACTATGGCAAGAATGACATCAATACTGGAGATTTCATACTTCAGTTAGCTTCTAGTGATATCAGTCAGGAAAAAAGTTTAATCAAGAAAATGTTATGTTCCTCTCCTATCTGCCCTAACAGGACTATGAATAGAGAGATATTTATTTATTTATTTTGAGTATTCATATCCCGTCCTTCTCACCTCCGAAGAGGGACTCAGGGTGGCAACCGTTAGATGCCAGACAATACATTAAAATACACAGTTACAATTAAAACAACAATTAAAGCAATTATAAACATTCAATTTAAAACAGTCCGTTGGTTCAAAATCATGGTCCAGTTCAATCCATTGTGGTCACTTAAAACATTTTCTTCCCAGTTGCTACATCTACTGCTCAAATGCTTGATCCCACAGCCAGGTTTTAAGTTTTTTACAAAAGGCCAGGAGGGAGGGGACAGACTTAATTTCATTGGGGAGGGAGTTCCACATCCATTTGAATATGCAAGAGTCATTTTCTGTAATTGCATACAGATGCTTTCTGCTGTGACTCTGTGCTCATTAATGGGACTTCCCCAATCGCAATATAGTGCACAAGTCCCATCCACAGATATGACAGCTCTGGCCCAAGAAGGGCATTTCAGAGTTAGAATTGTAGAGTCATAAAGTTGGAAGAGACCACATGGGCCATCCAACCCAACCTCTTGCCAAGAATCAGGAATATCACATTCATGAAGTTAATGAATCTACAGTCGCAGTTGCAGTACTGTCTGTACTGCATTTATGGTGACTAAGTTGTTTTTACAGTAGCTAATTCAAGTAATATTCATCCTATGTTGAGGAAAATTATGATTTTTGAAAGACTTGTAAAGCTATATTTCAAAAATTATTGTTAATGATGTTTGATAACACCATGTAAACAAATTTTAAAAATGTTCTGCTCCTGATCTGAAGGTGTTATTCCTGTTTAATTGTGTGGTACTTACTTTGAAAGTACTGTATTTTCTGACGTATAAAACTATTTTTTAACGCAGGAAAATCTTCTCAAAAGTCAGGGGTCATCTTATAGGGCGGGTGTCATCTTATAGGGTGGGTGCTGAAACTTCCAAACTGGACTGGAGAATCTGTGGTCACCACATATGGTGGGAGTAGCTTGAAAACGGCTGCAGACACATCCCCGCTGTATGCGGTGACTGTTTGAAAGCAGCAAGGGTGGCACTATACAAGTACAGTAGAAGAAAATCTACTCATTAGCATTCGTAGAAAGAAATGACTTAACGCGGTCCCGATGCGCCTCACCGGGAAAGTGTAAATGAAGGGCGGGAAAGCTGCAAGCGTCCGGGACGTGCGGGGCATGGAAAAACGAAATAGAGCAGGACTGTGCCCAGAAAAAAATGCCTCTTTTACCCGCCTGGGACGTCCTTGTATCCTATTACCATACCTCCTTCTCTGCCTCTCAGATCTTGCTCCTGAGGACTGCAGTGCAGTGGCACAGGCACACATGTGCGAGATCTGAGAGGCAAAGAAGGAGGTATGGTAATAGGAAAATTACCACATCAAAATCAAATCTGATGGGGTTTTTTTGTTTTTATTTGGTGTGCATGTGAAGAGGGGTAATTTTATACAGTGAGCATATGTTAAACTATATTTTAACTAGAAAAGTTGGGGGTTGTCTTATACGCCCAGTTGTCTTATACACCGGAAAATACAGTAGTTGTTATACTCATTGAAAAACTATAGCAAAATGTGCTGCAGGACATCCCACAAAAACAACATTTTTGCAATTTAATAAGCTTTCCCCATGTTTTTATGATAGAAACAATTAGGAAATTACATTTATAACCCAGAAACAACAATTGTGTTACACGGTGTAACCAGACAGCTGAAAAGGATGCTTTGGAGTTCAAATATCTCAAGATGATTTTGTCGTTAATAATAAAATATATATTTCAGTAGGTAAATGCTGAAGACTATGAAAGAAATGACTGATGTTCAGTAGGTGGCAGTACTGTCTAATTCAGTAGTAGTGTGTGGGAATGTTGCTGTTCAAGAGTGTTTTTCAGGTACTAGGCAAAAGCATGGCTGTCTCTCAATTATTTCCAAAAGGTCTGCAACAGAAGGCAAAGATTCAGGAAGAAAAATTGAAAGCCAGGCAGAAGGAAAAAGCAGATATGGAGGAGACCATAGACATCCTTAGAAAAGAACTGAGCAAAACAGAACAGGCAAGGAAAGAACTTAGCATTAAGGTAAGTTATCTTTGGAAGTTTATTTGATATCATGATTATCAAAGCAAAAGAACTAAACATCTGGTCACCATAGTTAGGAATATATACTATTGTATGAACGGTGTAGATGGAGGTTGCAATTCATTTACATAGTAGTAAGTCTCTTTGAATTCTGAGATTTATTTCTTAATATCCTGTTAAGGATTGCACTCTCAGTCTTATAACAAGGTTTGAGACTGGAGCAATAGGAATAAGTTTTCATTGTTCTATATTTTGTCAGAGAAATAGTGCTGGAACCCAATTGGTTTTATGCAACAGATAAAGTCAGAATGCCCCCAAATCTAACAGACACTTTGCTGAAAGCAGGGCTGATCTATAGTGTTTCTCAAAATGGATTTGTTACTTTGAATTTTAACTTGCAGTATATCTTGTCTTTGATTGATCACTTGTGGTTGCATTATTGGCAAAAGCATGCCTTTCGTTGCACTTTGCAGCTCGGCGCTTTCACTTTTAAACTCTTTGCTATGAAGGAAAGAATGAACCAGACAAGGTCCTTTTCTTAAAAAATAGTTTGATTTCTTCTTTTGACCTTGTAGCTTACAGCTTATGTCAAATTGATTATCAAAAATGGATGTGTTGATTCAGTAAAAAATTAATGTGATGCAATATTTTTTTCTTAAGGCTTAGCTTCTGTAAAGTATCATACTAATTCATGCTTTATATGTAGTAGCGATGGTCTATATGCAAATATGTGAGTATGGTTCAGATTTCTGGCTTAATTTTGTTCTGTTCTTTCTGCACTTAATGCCATAAACTCACTTCTGTTTCCATAGTGCAGCAGCAATAGTGTAGTTTTACAAATTAAGACATACTACCCAAATACAGTCAACATTTTTTAAAGTAATTAACAGTTTATGTGTTGTTGAAGGCTTTCATGGCCAGAATCACTGGGTTGCTGTGAGTTTTCTGGGCTGTATGGCCACGCTCCAGAAGCATTCTCTCCTGACATTTCGCTCACATCTATGGCAGTCATCCTCAGAGGTTGTGAGGTCTATTGGAAACTAGGCAAGTGATGTTTGTATATCTGTGGAAAGTCCAGGGTGGGAGAAAGAATTCTTGTCTGCTTGAGGCGAATGTGAATTTTGCAATTAATCATATTGATTAGCATTTAATGGCCTTGCAGCTTCAAAGCCTGGCTGGTTACGGCCTGGGGGACTCCTTTGTTAGGAGGTGTTAGCTGGCTCGGATTGATTCTTGTCTGGATTTCCCCTGCTTTTTGAGTGCCACTCTTTATTTACTGTCCTAATTTTAGAGGTTTTTTGAAAATACTGGTAGCCAGACTTTGTATATTTTCATGGTTTCCTCCTTTCTGTTGAAATTGTCCACATGTTTGTGGATTTCAATGGCATCTCTGTATAGTATGACATGGTAGTTGTTAGAGTGGCCCAGCATTTCTGTGTTCTTAAATAATATGCTGTGTCCAGCATATCAAGTGCACTTCTACGCTTCATCAAGTGCACTTCTATGGCTGACTTCTCAGGTTGAAATAGTCTGCAGTGCCTTTCATGTTCCTTGAATTCCAGACAAGAATCAATCCGAGTCAGCTAACACCTCCCAACAAAGGATTCCCCCAGGCAAGAAGCAGCCAAGCTTTGAAGCTGCAAGGCTATTAAATGCTAATTAAGGTGGCCAATTGTAACATTCACACCTGTTTCAAGCAGACAAGAGTTCTTTCTCCCACCCTGAACATTCAACAGATATATAAACCTCACTAGCCTAGTTTCCAACAGACCTCACAACCTCTGAGGATACCTGCCATACATGTGGGTAAACATCAGGAGAGAATGTTTCTGGAACATAGTAATGCAGCCCAGACACCTCAAAGCAACCCTGTCACAGACTATGGTTTTCTATCAAATTGCAATAGTGTTCTGTCCAGTTTAGATGCCACATTTATTAAACTTGTTTTAACTGTGGTTTAATTTAACCCATGAATGGAGTCTTACACTCCCCCAGTTTACTAGGTGATAGACTTCAGAAAGAGAGCGAGATTGCTGAATGGTATATAATATGTACTTTTAGGCCTCATCTTTGGAAGTCCAGAAGTCACAGCTGGAAGGGCGATTGGAAGAAAAGGAGTGCTTGGTCAAACTCCAGCAGGAAGAACTGAACAAACACTCTCATATGATTGCAATGATACACAGCTTAAGTGGTGGGAAGATCAGTTCAGAGACTGTGAATCTCAGTTTATAGAATCTGATTCCTTACAGTAATGTTTCACTAAAAAGAGGCAATTAAAGTAATGTATGCTTTCATGAATGCTGTGTAAAAGAAATCCCAGTTTTGTAGAGAATTGCCACATATAAATATATATACGTAATAATTAAATAACAGGTTTTTTGAAGGAAATTGGCCCCAATAACTTCATATGACACTGATGCTCACAGTGTGAGGGCCGTGTCATACATTTTAAAAGGGGCAAAGTCAAATTGTTGCCAATACACATACTGTCACATATAATGGGAATTGGGGCAGGGTGAGTGATAGTCCACTTTCAACTGATTTTACCTTTATCAATTTGTATGTTGATTTTTTAAAAAATGGCTTGTATATAGAATTCAACACAGCACAATCCATCTATCTAACATAAATGCAGAGATGAAATAGAAATAGGCAAAAGCAATGTATATATGAAAACATATTTTTTTGTAAAGTTGTATTGTCCAATCTTAATTACAACAGAATGAATTGAACGTGCCTTTAAAAATATCGCTGCCTAAATACTGTTTCTTGAAGAAATTTAAAAAAATGCCAATACTCATGCTTATTCAGTTCTGTAGGTTTCTGAAAATATCTTACAACTTTATCAAGCATCCACACATTATTGCTATTCCTTTTTGGTCTAGTGTTTTAAATCTTTGTTCAATTTTTAGTACATTTTGATATAACAAAAAAGCACAATTCATGCACATTTAAACCATTGTATGAACATTTTTAAAGTAACAATTTTAATGAAAAGGATATACTTAAAAGCAAAGACGTGAACTTTGCTAAGGTATACTCTGTATGGCGCCTGTGCATTTTAATGAATGAAACATGATGATAATGGGAGGCATTAACATTCTGAAACTCTTAGTACTAAATCCATTTAGAGTGCAGTGATGTTGAGCCAAAATGTCAACAAATGTTTTTGTACTTTGTTTCAAGCTTCTGTTGTTTCATTCTTGTGCCCAATAGGTACAATTGATGCTGTCAATTATATTTTTGTGAGTGTGTCCTTTAGTGTCTCCAACCCAATGGAAGTGTTAGACATTTCAATGAAATATTTATTATTTGTAGTTGTTCTTTTATCATTTTTGTTGTCAATGTCATCATTTGTGTCTGAGAAGAAAAATAAAAATGTAATTCCCAAATTGTGTGTCAAATGGATGTTGTGAAACACAAGTAACTCAATTCCTACATGCATTTTTTAAAATGGGCTTTTATCACTTGCTCTTTAGCCATATTTGTTTAATAATAATAATAATAATAATAATAAGTCTTTATTTATACCCCACCACCATCTCCCCGAAGGGGACTCAGGACAGCTAACATGAAGCCAAGCCCAAAATTACAACAAAATATAATACAAGTATAGCAAAATAAAATACAAAAAGCAAAAATACCATCAAAATAAAAACATAATAAAATAAAATAAACAATTCCAAAATGACATGATAAAGGAATGGGACACATATGCTGCTTATAACAAACAAATAAGAGCAGCTGTTTTATTTGGTTTTCAAAGCCTTGTTCTGCTAGACAAGGCATGGGCAAACTTTCTAACTTGGGGGTCGCATGGCAGGCCGGAACCATGCAGTTCTCCCCAAGTCCCCTTCCTGCCCTGCCCTTTCCTTCCCTTCTTCTTCTCTTTTGGAGGCAGAAAGTGAAGGAAAAACAGGAAACTTGGATCCCAAAAGGGTTGATCTTGGTCAGAATGAGATAGTGGACGAGAGGAAAGGAGGAAGTAAAAGGAGAAGGGATGGAGGAAGAGGATGGAAGGAAGGGTGGAAGGGAGGGATGAAAGAGTGAAGGAAAGACAAAAGGGAAGGAATGAAGGAGAAAGAGAGGGGGAGAAGGAGGATGGAAAGAAGGAAGGAAGGACAAAAGGGAAGGAAGGAGAGAGGAAGGAAAGAAAAGGAAGGGAGGAAGAGAAGGATGGAAGGAAAGAAGGGTGGAAAAGAATGGAGGGAGGGAAGAGCGAAGGAAGAAAGACAAAAGGAAAGAGAAAGAGGGAAGGAGTGATGAAAGAGAAGGAAGAAAGGGTAGAAGGGAAGGAAGGGAGGGAAAAAAGGAAAGGGAGGAAAGAGAAAGAAGGATGTAATAGAGAAAGGACAGCCTAAGAAAAGAGCCGAAGGGGCCGCATCGGGTCCCGGGCCTGGGTTTACCCATACCTGTGTTAGGCAGTGGGACTAGGATTATTTCTGTAATCCAATATTTGGCAAGCTTTTGTAAATCAAAAAATCTATGGAAATATATTTTGAGATTGTATCTTTACTTGTTATAGCCATTTGATATTATTTCAACTGCTGTGAAATGCTAAGATTTGTAAGTTTGTGAGGTGTAGTAATATCCTGTTAAAATGTTATTGCCTCTTGGAAGATAGAGTCAGGGAAGTAAGAGGCTGGGAGGTGACAGTTTGAACAGGAAGGAAATACGAGCTGTATATATGAAAGAGCAGAGTCAGGCAACCTCTGAGACAAGTATTGTGAAGTATTGCTATTTGTAATCCTGTAAATATACCAATACCAAAGGAAACTGAGAGCAACAAAGTATGATACTTAGGATTCTTTTACTATCAAAGTATAGTGTACTCAATGCATGATAACACTGCAGCTCTCTAGCGAGGAATTCTAAGCATCTCACCAAACTACAAGTCACAGGACTTTGTGGAAAGGATCCATGACAGTTGAAAGTGGCATCAAACTCCTACGACTGTGCAATGCTGTCAGTGACCCTGAACTTCAAAAGTAATACCTTTATTCCAGGATCACCTTGAATAAGCTGGGCCTGCTTAGTAGTCTTTCCTAAATAAAGTTAAATGTATTATGCCAGGATAATGTCTTTAGAGCACTGGCAGCTCCAATGAATTTTGGATTCTTGGTGTAGTAGTTGGTATTATGTTATTAAAAACTAATTTTGTCAGGAGGCAGCTGTTGCCTTGGCTGGTCATAACTGTAAAATATCTAGGCATATTGTTTGCGTTAGAATTGGTTACATTTCAGCTGTCTTATAAAGCAGCCAAACAGCTATGACGTCTGAAAGGAAATAAAAGGACATAGTAATTTCAAACTGAAAAAGGCTCATATGATAAGCTTTGAAAAACACTTTTATCAGTTGCGTTAGATTCTAGCTTGATTGCAGAAAATAAATGGCTAGGGTTACTGCTTCTCCTTCATTTGTATTGCGTCAACACCCTCTGTTTTTCTCACTCTGTCTCCTGAGGACATAGCTTCAAAATACATTTTACCCTATTTGTTACTCATACTCAACAACAGAAACCAGGGTTCTGCAATTTTTTTTGCTTGCAAGTCCTATCCATATTGTGAATGCCACTCTAGTCTAGACCATTTCATGTAGCTCATGAAGTGAGCTCTAAACAACAACAGCTTACACCACAATAAATATTTCATCTTCTTTACTAAATTATTTGTGGCCTTTACAAGCCACTCTTCTATCTTAGGATACCAGTGGCATTTCCAGTTGTTGAGATGGATCTATATTCAGTCCAATCGTTACAATCATTACTCCTTATTCATTATTACTTTAAGCCCTATTCTCAGTAAAAGTGCATTTATATCCACCTATGTTTTCACTGTATAAAACTCAAGTGCAAACTAAACATGATGTGGCAGATATCTAAAGTGAGAAGCATTAGCAGGGCTAGAGTTAGGTCATGTTCAGAATGTGATAAGGTTTTCCCTTCCTTGAAGTAAGACTTCAGTACTAGAGTTGTCCCTCCAGAGTTGATGATTCACAGATTTGATTTTAAATGTTCTTACTAGGAATTTAGATTCACCAGTATGACTCTATAGTCAACTTCATCCAGTCATGTTGGATGACCTAGAGATTTCTCAAGATAACATGTCTCTAGGGATCTCTGGATCATCGAATCGTTGAGTTGGAAGAGACCCTGTGGGCCATCCAGTCCAACCCCCTGCCAAGAAGTAGGAAAATTGCATTCAAAGCATCCCTGACAGATGGCCATCCAGCCTCTGCTTAAAAGCCTGCAAAGAAGGAGCCTCCACCACACTCTGAACAGCTCTTACAGTCAGGAAGTTCTATTACCAGCATCCAGTAGAAATTTATCATAGAGTCATGCTGGGAGATCCTTAGGTTAAAAAATAGTATTTTTTTCATGTGTGTGTGTGTGTGTGTGTGTATGTATGTATGTGTGTGTGTGTGTGTGTGTGTGTGTGTATATATATATATATATATATATATATATATAAACTTTCATGGTGGCTCTGTGCCCCTATACCTAACAAATGTGGAGGACTGACTGTGTATCCATCTGGCCAGTAGATCTTGATCTCCAAATAGAGAACAATATGATGCTTGTCATAAGTATTCTGGTCAGTTTGGGTACTGTAGGGATGGGAGGACATGTGTCTCTCCAGATGCTGGGGCATCATATTTTAGTGTGCACTGGTCACTCAGGCTGATAGAAGTGTCAGTATAACATCTGGAAAGCCATATTTCCTTATCCCCGTTGTGTAGAAAAGTGGAAGTACTCCAATGAATATTCCTTGATGTATTATTTAATGTGTTAATTCCCTTTTCCAAAGCAAAATGAATGGATGCTTTCACTTTAGAGCAGGCGTTCATAGGCCCAAATAACCATTTTGAGCAGAAATCTCATTGGGGAACTTATTCACGACAGCACAAAATACTATATTTTACCAAATCTAAAGTGCTATCAATCTAAAGTGCTACCAACCCCTTTTTGAAGCTTCATTTTTTTGAAAAAAAAGAAAAAAAATATTTTCCTTGGATAATGTATTGTCAAAGGCTTTCATGGCTGGAATTACTGGGTTGTAGGTTTTTTTGGGCTATATGGCCATGGTATTGGATATTGGATATTTTTAAAGAATTTCCTCTCTGTGCAAAATACTTTGTTTTTGTTTCAACTTGGAAGTCATCTTGCCTACATTAATCTTTTTTTATGGGTGTTATGGACCTGTTGGGGAGGCAGGGGAAGCAAGAAGCAGTGCTTAGCTCAGCCACACAAAATGACAAGGGCCTGGCAGAGCCATTTGGGGGTGGGGCCCTATCTCCCAAACTGGCAAATCCAAAGAGCCACCAGTTGTAAGGCACGCACACCCCATTTCGGAGCCTCTAAAACACAAAAAATGCACCTTAGAACAGGTGAAATAAGGCAACAGTCTGGGAAAACAATATGGGAAGTTTCTTTATAACTGAACTCCCTTGACAAGCTTTTGTTTTCAGAGTCTATTTTACATTCCCCTCCACCTCATTTTTCAGCAGAATCTTCTCATCAATAATGTTCATCTGTCTTGCTCAAAATCTGTGGTCTGTGGCGGAATGATGTTGCTTCAAGTAGTGACTCACCAAGAAAGCATCTGTTTTATTGTTCCTTAGACTGCAATGGTTGTTCCCATGTATGTTTGAAGAAATTCGACTGCCTGGGGACAGGAACAATATTCTCTTTTTACCTGTAGAAACTGACAGAATAAGTAGATGCATCTTACATTTCAACACTAGAGATGGCCCAGTATTTTCAGCAATGCTTGAGGGTAGCAGGCTAATTTGGAGCGGATGGTTCAAGGTTGAGTGCTGGAACATATATGCCTCTCTCTGCCAATAGAGAAAAAAAGCCAGGACCTGCACCCTCTCCCTTATCTACACCATGCAGTAGAGATGGCTGCCTGATGGAAGGGCCAAACTGACTGAGGGTGTAAACTCTTGATTCCCTTTATTTTTGTTCTGAAGGGAGAAAATTCAGAATTTTTGCACTTGACATGAATCATTGTTAGGCAGATAGTAATTTTGGTTATTGGTCTCAGATAAGAAGTGCATTTTGCCTTGCTGAAGGCGTTAGTAAAAGTACTAGCAGAGGATTTACAGTTGCACAAATTATGAAAATCATGAAAAAATACATTTGACATTTTAATTGCGCTCTGGAGAAGAAATATCTTGAAGTGCTGTTTAAATTGTACAAGAACAACTACACAGTCTTAGACACTTGGGAAGTGGCTGACGTGTGATCCAGTACAACAGCCAGCAGAGTGATCTTGTCTGCTGTGGACTCACCTTGTTGTGTTTAATAATAATAATAATAATAATAATAATAATAATAATAATAATAATAAACCAACAACAACTTTATTTATAAACCTCCCTATCTCCCCAA